CATTCGGGCAATGCCATTGAAACCATTGAACAGTGGTGGGCTTCTCTTGGGGACGCCATTCCACCGGCCTTGCGTGAGTGGCCAGTTGTTCTCATGGCAGATGCCAATGCAAAGGTTGGAGCAGATCAATGCCATTGTATTGGTCCGGTTGGTGCTGAAGTTGGCAATGAAAAAACAGAGGCCTTTACATCGTTCGTGAGATCTCATTGTTTGTGGCTACCCAGCACATTCGACTGTCATGTTGGACCATCGGGTACATGGAAGCACCCATCAGGATCTTGGACGCGCAACGATTATATTGGACTCCCTACTGCTTGGACAGCCACCTCTTGTCATTCTTGGATTCCAGAAGACATTGACGTGTCACTTCATCATGAAGACCATTGCGCAGTACTTGTACGTTTGAAGATGCACCTCTCTCGTACAACTACCTGTCATTATGGGCCCATTCTTCGATGTCCCGCCGAGTCTGCAGATTTGAGCACTTTGCGCAACTGTACTCCAGTCGGGCCTGGTTTGGATGTCCACTCTCATGCGCTCTGGGTGCAAGATCAGGTTGTACAATGCATGCCTCGTGCTCCACGAAGAGGGCCTGTGCCTCTTAAAGCTACTATGTCATCGGAAACATGGAATGCTGTCCTGGCCAAACGACAATGGCGTTCAGCTCTTCGAGAAGCCAAAGACTTGCAAAAATCTACGTTGCTTCAGCTCTGTTTTGCAATGTGGCAACAAGCTGTTGTGGTCGAGCCTGATGGTCACGAGGTTTCTCTTTTTGCACAAGGTGCCCAAATCCTTGCCAGCCAAGATCGTTTCATTGCACGAGCTCTGCATGAATTTCGCAATCTTGGCCGTCTTGTCACACGACTTAGCCGTGTTGATGACATCAAGTTTTTCCATGATGTTTTGGCAGAGGGAGCACATTATCTGGCCCCACATCAAACTCGTGACCTTTGGAAAAGCATCAAACGAGCCCTTCCCAAATATCGACAACGGCGCCTTGCAGCCGACCCACTCAAATTACTTGCCCTTGAGGAGAATTGGAATCCACATTTTGAGGCACTTGAGGCGGGCTGTGTTGTTGCCCCTGAGCAATTGGTTGAGGAAGCTGCATGCACTCATGTTCAGGAAAGAGCACATATGCCACCTTCTGTTGGAGATCTTCCCACCCTGTTTGACCTTGAGCATACATTGCGAGCTAACAAGGTAGGGCGTGCCACTGGCTATGACCCTATTACCTCGGCTATGTACCACCACCATGCAGCTGAACTTGCAGAGCATGCATTTCCTTTGATGGTCAAGATGTGGGTATGGGGGGAGGAACCTCTACAGTACAAGGGGGGACCTATGGCTTTGATTCCAAAGCGACCACATCCCTCCGCTGTGCATCATTTTCGTGGTATTCTCCTTTTGCCGACGCTTGCCAAGAGCTTCCATGCGTTGTTGAGGAAGCGCATTATGGGGCTCTTGACACCGCAACGTCTCCCAGGGCAATTTGGTGGCTTTGCTGGCCAAGAAGTGTTATTTGGCTCTCAAGCTCTGCGCATTGCGGGCCGGACAGCCTTAGCCAAAGGCCTTAGCTTTGGAGTGTTGTTCGTTGACTTGGCGACTGCATTTCATTGTTTGGTCAGAGAAATGGTCGTTGGCATTGGAGATGTTGACAAATTGCATTTTGTCATGGATGCATTGCGTTGGAGTGATGATGCTTGCCAGCGTCTCCAACTTGGGCATGCTCTTCCATGTCTGCTGGAAAGCCTGGGTGCTCCAGCATATCTTGTGCGCTTGATGCGCAATGTGCATGATTCGACATGGACAACCATCAATGGTAAGGAGTATTTGAGGACGCATCGTGGCACGCGACCAGGATCACCGATTGCTGATGCAGTGTTTCACTTCATCATGTACGATTTTTCTTTGGCTTTGAAGCAGTACCTCCAGGAGACCGGAAGCGCTGCACTTTTTGAAGAACACCTTGCCATGGACCTCGACATGATTATTTGGAGTGATGATCTGGCGGTTCCACTCTTAGCTGAACGTGCCAGCATGCTTGTCCCGAAGCTCCTTCACCTTTTGGACTTTGTCAAAGCTGAATTTTGCAAAAGAGGTTTCCAACTCAACTTGGCCAAAGGGAAGACTGGCGTTGTTGCGACATTTTGTGGCCCTGATGCGGCAACCTCGCGGCGACAGTACCAATTGATTCCGCAGCCGGGCATGTGGCATACCTTTACAGATGGTTCTGAAAGTTTTGTTCACATGACTCCTGCATATCGACACCTTGGAACCTTGTTTACCTCTGACCAACAATTGGATACCGAGATTGCCTTCCGCATTGGAGTTTCGCGTGCAGCATTTGACCAAATCCGCAAACGGATCTTGGCCAATCGTCACCTTCCAATACGCCTCCGACTGCAGTTGTTTAACTCTTTGGTGCTCTCAAAACTTTATTTTGCCTCTGGTTCATGGCATACCCCGACAGGACGGCAGATTGACCGACTGCGCACAGCCATTTCCCGCATGATCAAGATCATCTATGGAAATGCTTTGCCAACCAGGGCCACTGCTCAACTTTTCTCACATGCGGGTATTTTGGATCCCAGAGCCAAGCTTGCAACGGAAAGGCTCCTTTATGCCCAGAGACTGTTTCATCATGGTCCAGAATTCCTGCAGCTTATGATACATGCAGAAGCTGAACACCATCCTTTTTCATGGTTAGTAGGACTCCGTCATGATTTGCAATGGATGCAGGGCGTCGAAGCGGACCCTGACCCAATGCTTGTGGCCCATGATTTGACTGACCTCATTGACCACTGGCAGCGAGATACGGGACGCTGGAAACATCGTATCCATCGAGTTAGCAGACGTCACCTGTATCAAGAGGCTATGATTTTGGAAGTTCAGCAGTGGCATGCTGACATATTCAAACTACTACGCAGTCAGGCGTTCACTTTTTGTCCAGACCCAACACAGTTGCATCTTCAGGAGCGCTTATACCCCTGCCGAGATTGTGATCGTTGCTTCACCACTCCACAAGGTGTCCACACCCACAGACGGAAGAAGCATGGGGTATTTAGCTTGGAGCACCATTTGCTTGACTCCGCAACATGTCCGGCGTGTTTGACATATTTGTGGTCTACCCAGCGGGTTCAGCAACATTTAGCATATATGCCTCGCAGTGGATTGCCGAACCCTTGCTTTGCCTATTTGCAACAGATCGGCTATGCGGTATCCTATGCAGCTGAGCACCTCCCCACTGCGCAGAAGGGCCAATCACGCCTTGATGCTCTTCCTACCGCTGGGCCATATGGATGTGGACCGACTGCCCGTGACCGTCATCTTGCTGATCTTCGTGCCCGCAAGTTAGCAGTTGAGGCGGAATTTTCCGCCTATGTGCAACCACATGATTCCGCAAGGGCAGGCGATCGCCTGGGAAGTTTGCTTTCCGCCACAACCCGCAACTGGTTCCGTGATTTCTGTGATGCCAATCATGACTTTGCACCCATTGAGAGGCCGCAAGACAGATGGTTGGATATTCTATGTCGGCTGCCAACCGATTATGAATCGTGGACAGCTAGAGTATTCATCCTTTGGGGACGCTACATTCTCCCGGACATCATTGCAGACCTTTGGGATGGCGAAGCAGAAGCTTATTTGGATGCAGAATATGCGGAATTAGCTGCGGAATTTGATGAATATTGGCTGGAAGCACGCCTCCAATCTTTGACCCGCCAAATTGATCAGGCAGCAGAACCTATTCCTGTTGCTGAACCTCATCGACCAGTCCGTCCTCCACAACAAGATGCCCAACCGCGCTCTACACCCCAGCTGGCTATTCCGCGTTTATTCCAGACGCAGGAGCGTTGGCATGCAGAACTCGAACGAGTGCAATGGCTGGACCTTCCCGCCGATCCCTGCACCCCTCTTGTTCATGGTCTTCGACCTCGCCCTACGTTTATTGTGGTGCATCTTTTTGCAGGACGTCGACGTGAAACAGACCTTCACGCTTGGTTGGACCATTGGGCTCACCGTCACAACTTTGATGTGATGGTATTGTCCATGGACACTGCTATTTCACCTGTCCTGGGTAACTTGGATGCCAATGGCGAATCCTGGGCGCAGCTGAGCGAGCTCTACCTCAAGGGCTATGTCGCCGCTACGATCTCAGGGCATCCCTGCGAGACCTTTTCGTCTGCGCGCTGGACGGATCCTCCGCCAGAGCTGCAGCACCATCGATGGCCGAGACCGTTACGTACGGCTTTACGCCTCTTTGGTTTGGATCATCGCTCTTTTCGGGAGCTTCGCCAGACTAGACTTGGTAGCGCCTTTTTCTTGCAAACAGTGTGGGCATTGGCGTGCCATGTGATCTATGGTGGGCTCTTCTTGGAGGAGCACCCTGGTATCCCTACACAGCCACACCATCCATCAGTATGGAGAAGTGCTATCCTTCAGCTCTTCCGGAAACACCCAGACATTCGACTCCATGAAATAGCACAATGGCGTTTTGGGGCCTCTACAGTGAAGCCTACGGGGCTTTTGGCGTTGCGTATGCCACACTTCCTTGCTGACCTCTACGCTCATGCCGATCCGGGAGCCCGCCGTCCTGTCCAACAAGCGATTGGTCTTGACCAAGATGGCAACTTCCGAACGTCTTGCCATAAGGAATACCCACATCGACTCTCATCTGGATTTGCAAGTGCGATCGCTAATCAGCTGTTGCGTAATTTCAACGCACAGTCTTTGCGACCTCTTGCTGATTTGCCACATCCCCTGCGAGAATGGGTGCACGAAGTTGCACGTGACAGCGATTCTATCAGGTCTAATACGACTTGGCTGCCTGATTTCCAGGGTTGATGTTTTTGGCACCATTAATTATGTTTTCCAACTGCATGTCTTGGCCGCAAGGAACGGACCTTTGCTCGCCTGTGAAAGTGAAAAGTGAAAGAAATATAACGGGATAACCCCACTGGATGGGGACTTACTAACCATTCTATTCTTGTTAAATTCCATTATAATTCCTTTCGAATCCCATTTCCACATTCGTGCCCTGCCGTCAATTTTCCGACAATCCCATTGTCATCCCGTTAAATCCAGGTAATTATATGGTTATTCTTCAGTAAATGAACAGCTCGACCCTGGCAGATAGGGCTTGGAAGATGAGTTTCCACTCAAAGTTGGTGATTTTCAGGGTCTGTATGAATTTATCAGATGGTATTACCCACTTACGATTCCTGGCGGCGATACCTTGTCGCAGCACTTGCGTTCCACCTGGTGGAGTGGGTGAAGAGCCGAAGAGGGAGTGACACAGGGGACAATGTCGTAAACTTCGGGAGTTCAACAGCAAACACTTGGATTTTCACCAGCAAAACTGGAGGAACATGGGGATTTAACATGACTGGTTGGTGGTTGAAACAACCCCTCTGAAAAATATGAGTTCGTCAGTTGGGATTTTATTATTCCCAATATATGGAGAGTCATAAAAAAATGTTCCAAACCACCGACCAGAAGATTTAACATGATTTTAACATGATTCAATCAGCCAAAGTGGCGATCGTTTTGTCATCGAAGCATCAAAAACGGTGATGGGCTTTTCTCGGGATGGGCATCCCACCCTGGCTGCCTATGCCTCTGAATAGTTTGAGTTCCTGAATGCCGGTTGTGACTTCCTGAATGAAACTAAGTACTGTACCCAGCATACACGAATCGGTCCCAACCCAACATCTGTTGTTTCGCTACCCATGGGTTGTTTGGGCATGGTTCAAACATCACATGTCTCATAGTTTCAAGCTGGTCAATGCTGGTCCATGCTGGTAATCAAAATGCATGGCTGGCCAAAAAGATCCAAAAACATATGATGATTTTGATCTAAATGCTAAACATTGGATATTTCCCAGCCTTTGATGTTTGCTGAGTATCAAACATACCACTAGAAGAGTCTCAACCTGCAGCCCTGCTGCCCTCGAAAATGCCGGGCCTGGGCCACTAGCTGTCGCAGCTTGGACAGCGACATCACCAAATCTCGACATCGCTCGTGGACCCCAGAGGTTTTTCCTTCGCGGAGACTTCGGAGACGTCCCAACTCTTGATTGGGTTTGAGGGAAACAACAATTACACTTCCCCCCTCCCAAAAGAACCTGCCAATTTCTGTCCTCTTCATTTATGAGCGAGGATCTTCATGGATGTGCATATTTACAAACTGTGGGCCAAAATTTACACCGCAAAAAAATCAAAAAGCTCAGGAGGATGAACTGACTCCCCGATCTCCCAAGCTTCGCTTCCCAGCCCCAGCCGACCATGATCGGCCTAACAAGCCATGGGCTCGAATGGGATCCAACTGCTCCAGCTCTGCCAAGCGCGCAACCTATGGAAATATCAGCAGAGTAGTGCTTTTTTTGGCGAGTTCTAACCACCAGAAATAGATCATTAAACCACTTGATTCTAGGGATTTGAGATGATGTTTCTAGGGAGTTTGATTTTATGTGATTTGTGAACTTCATGGTGGATGTTGAGAACCATGAGGACATGGGTTTTGAGCTGGTATTGAGCTGGTTCATCCTGATTGCAAAGAGCTGAATCACAATTGTCAAGAACCCAGCATGAACCCAGGAGGATTTTGACAGATTCTACCAAAAATGGGTGATGAAAGTGCGCACCAGAAACATACAGGATCGGTGAAGCTTAAAGACCAGTTCAATGAGCGGAATTGCATATAGATTGGCTTGGGTTAGGAATTCCGGAACGGAACATTCAGAATGTGTGTTCAAGCCTCCCGATGGCTTTCCAGGGATTTTTTATCGCTAAGATAATATGGTAAGATGGTCCGCCTGGGGCGCATCAAGCAGCCCCAAAATCACGTGGAGCAGTGACAACTTGGGTCTCCAGGGTGACCTCAGGGAGATCCAGGATGAACATGGTGGAACTGAAGCAACATCTTTCAACATACTATGGATAGAAGATATCCTGCACCACCAAACGGATGGATGGTTGAAAGCCTATAAATAATGGGATAAAGCATCTATCAGGTGCAGGATTTCGCAACCATCCACTGTATATCATATTTCAAACAATGATTGACACAAAGGGCGAAGAGGCCGAAGAATGAAATAACATCATTCCAGCTACGTATGCCAATGTATTCTCTTTCATCAAAGTTCAATTTCCCATTCAGTCACCATCCCCAGTTTTAGGGGGTTATAGATCCATACAGTCCATAGATATTAAAAAATCATATCCAAATTTCACACTATCCTCCATCCTCATCCGCATTATAAATCGTAAATTCTGCGTATCTCGTCCCCCAGGAAACCCAACTTGGTCTGCATCAACGTCTCCAGCGAACTCATGCGAAAACCATGCGGCGCCAATGGACCTCCTGCTGCCTGGCACCGCCAAGTGCTGCCGTGTCCAGACACGGCATCCGGCATAAAAATCAGAATCCTGGACTTGGCACTACAGATAATCATCCAATAATCATCTGATTGGGACATGATAATCAGAATTAGATGATGATCAATATATTGGTTTACCAATAATCAGAATCATCCAGGGACTACCATAATAACTACAAATAATAATCATCCCAATCGCTCCTGAACTTTTATCATGTCCCAAAGAACTCACCTGCTGCACACCCCGAGCGCCTCGTTGAGCTTGTTGCCCAATCTCATGGCCTGCGCAGGATATGAGCGATCTGGAACTGCTTGCACCAAGGATAGCTTCTTAGATCAACTTATAGATCCAAGCAGCACTTATTAAGATCCAACTTGTAGATCAACTGCTACCTTTCTCCAGAAGGGTCTTTTGAAATGCTACAAAGTTCATCTTCCATGAGCCTTGACCCACAGCTGGATTTCTCGTATCGAATCATTGGACAACAGACTTTTTCCCATCAGAAGCAGCTGTCTGAACAAGAAAAAACGTAAACCAATTCTGAAACTACATATTACTGGACGTGTCACTGAAAGAATTTTGGAGTCCCAAATGGAGGTAAACCCCTAAAATGGGTGACCTCCAAATCATCCATTTCAATAGGATTTTCAGGGGTTTTCCATTACAAACCATCAATTTTTGGGTACCTTGATTTTAGAAAACCCCCAAATGATGGATGATATGGATGATGATCATCATGTCAAAAAATATCCAAAAATCCCTGGCGAGAGGTCCTGACTGAAGAAGCGTCGTAGCACATCCTTCCGTTCTGCCATCACCTGGCGGAGGAAAACCCACAGGAAACCATGGTGTTTTACCAGCGAAAAGTGGCTTCCTGGAAATGCTCGAATCCTATAGGAGAAACTGTCTGTATATGTCCGTATGGTCCTATCCATCAGCGGAGCAAATACTTGGTGCTGACATCTGGACACAACAAATCTTCTCCATCTACGCAATGATCCTATCCCCAGCCACCTGCAGACCGCCTTTCAGCACCTGGAGGGTGCAGTCGTCAACTTTGTTGTGTACTGGTTGGCTTCAGCCGGTGCCTATACAAAATGAAGCATGCCTTACATCACAAGAAAAAGATTGTTTGGGGATCCTATCTTTTTTGATAAGAGCACGTTTGACTCCTCTAGCATTAGCCCATAAGAATCCATAAAATATCATAAAATAATAGTATCTGGGCAAATTAAAATACCCTCTGGTAATTTAACATAGCTATTGAACATGGCTATTTATAGTGAGTTTTCCCATTAAAAATGGTGATTTTTGATAGTTATGTAACAGTTTACCAGAGGGTAATTCACCAACCTGAAAAATCAGGCTTTATTGGGATAATTGCCCTTTCTAACCCATGATTCCGACGTTTTCGGTCACGCCGTGTTCGGTCACCTGGAGGTCCGTCTTGCACTTTGCGGCGTCCTTATCCCAGCTGGATTGGATTTTGAAGCCTCGGATGCCCACTGGGTTTGTCTCTGGGTTTGTCTGAAATGTCGGGCAAAACCATTGGAAACATCCAAGAATTCAATGGTTGATCATAACTTTTGGCTTCGCTGATAAACAATTGGCCATTAGACAAAGTACAATGGTGTACATAAAGTTACAGCATTTCCAAACACACCCGGGTGTATTTCAAAGGCCCTGGAGCGTACCGTGTTGTTTGGCATGAGTTTATTGCCAGCTCTGATCAGCAGGAAAACAAGAGGTTCATCCGCTACAGTTCAGGAAGTCACAGTGGAAGGTTGCTGACGTATGAAATTGAACATATTCGGTGTTGTCAGTAAATTACAGTTTCTATCTACCCAACATCAATGGATTGGTTTAAGAGAAAATCCAGACGATTTTGCCGACTTTTACCATTAAAAGTGGGAGTTTCCTACTGAATTGTTCCTTCGTCCAGTTTGGGGATAAGAACATTGGCTGCCAGTGGTGAAGGTCCAGCAGAAGGTTCCCTGTTTTGCCGCTGGGCTTCCCACAACGCAAGCGTTCATAGATACCGGGAATGCAACTGACCTGGCAGCCCCAAGCCACTTGGAGTGATCAGAGTCATATCCTGAAATAATTGGGGATGCACCAAGTTGATATGTTTAAGTGTGAAATTGAGGGTAAACCAAGGGATGCCGGGAGGTTTCTCATATTTATCATGCAAACCTGTCCATCCATCTAATCATCATCTAATCTATGATTCTATAATCATCATCTCATCCTATCCCATTCCGTCCAAAAATCTTAGCAGTGTTCAAAACCCTCTGTCATTGAATGAATTTCTGGTTGGTTCGTAGGGATTTCCACAATGGATTGTGATCCCGAATACATTGGATAGGTATAGCCCATAACCCCATATACCCTCTGGAAATCAAACATGGCGAAAAACAAAATCCTCCATTCATAGTTGATTTTCCCATTCAAAGCTCCAGTTTTTGGTGGATTTTCCAATGGCCATGTTTGATGAAACGGGAGGATCATCATCCATCAGGAGTTTGGCTTGATCCAATGGAAAATCACCTGATTTGATCATTTCATTTGGGAGGATCATCCATCAGTTTTTGGGGATATCAATGGATATCATCCATTTAGATCCACTGATATCCCCAAATTTTCATGGTTACCCTCTGGTAAACTACTGTAACATAACTATGGAAAGATCCACCATTTTTATTGGGAAAACTCACTATTTCTATGGCCATTTTCCATAGCTTTTTGTAGGTTTACCAAAGGGTACAACCTCAATGATGAACTCATCGACGATCGCAGCCTGGTAGCCCTGGGGGTCCCCCGGAGGGGCCTGGTACAGGAGTCGATGTTCTGCCTCCGGATCGCAGTTGCTCAAGGCCTCTAAGCCCTGCTCCTGCCACCAGGAGTCGATGGCCCAGAGTCGATGATTTTACCATGATTTTACCATGATTTTACCATGATTTTACCATGACCGAACTGATTTTTCTGCTGATTTTTCGATTTTTGTTGATTCACTTCATGGCCCATCGGAATGGTAAGTAGCTTAGTTCATAGTTCACCCCAGTTTACTGGACATTGGCACCCTACCAAAACTTGGGTGAACAAAGCCATTGATAGTGGATAGTGATGGATTCTTTTGGACTAATTGTGATTGTCATGACAGGGAATAATTGACTAATTGATAGATGATGGATAGTGTTGGATCATTCATTTCATAGAGGCTGATAGAGATTATATATATATGGCTATGGGTCAAAACCTTGTACCCCTGGTGAACATCAAAATAGCTGGTAAATGGATGTTCATCCCCCTAAAAATGGTATGTATAGGTATTGATCCATAGCCATATATACACGTATATATATATATATACATCATGGATAGTGATGGATAGTGATGATGTTTAGCAACAGACAGAGTCCCCAATTTCCCCCTGCTAGCGTCGTCGCCTCGACGAAGCGTGCCACGGGGCTTCCCGCCTCCCGGCCATCTTTTTATGGGTGCATCTTTTCACCATCTACAGTAGCTGGATGGTTACCCTCCGGTAATTTAACATAGCTATTGAAAATGACCATAGAAATAGTGGATTTTCCCATTGAAAATGGTGATTTTCCATAGTTATGTTAGTTTACCAGAGGGTAGACTTCAGGTTTACGCACTGAGTATGCATTTTCTCCAATCTCTATAAGCCGATATTGAAAGGAACCTGGGATAATTCTAGCATCTCTACTTGCCTTACAACATCATGGTGGGGGTATGTATTCCCCTGGCCCTCAATCAGATGTGAAATCACTTGAACACGGTCTAAAACCATTTTGAAGATAGGCAGATCAATTTGTTGGTCCACAATCACTCTTCTTCGACACTGTAGCGCATGTGGCATGCTCACCTCATGATCTCACTTCGGCGAGCCTGCGCGTAGGTCTCCATTGCTTCTCTCAGATTTTCCAAACCATCAATGTCCTCGCATGAGAAACCCAGTTCAAGACTTCAGCTTGCCAATTTATAGTTAGAATCACACAGAATCGCTGACACCAACAGGCAAGACCTGCTGGAATCAAAGGTCATATTAATCTCGGACATGTTCGACCTTTATCAGGACATCAAAGGTTGGACACCCATCCGGATCATCCAGATCGAGCCATGTTGGAGCGTCCTTTCGGATGCGACATTGAAGGACAGCCTTGCAAATGTCCTGCGATCGCTGCTGGTTGTGATGCGGCAATCGCTGCTGGTCCGGTGCTGGTTTTACCATGTTTTACCTCAAGTAGATCCTCTAGACCACCGAAAAAGGAACAACAAATCAAAGATGTGGGGATGGGTCAAAACCCTGGTACCTAGTGAACCCCAAAATAGCTGGTAAATGGATGTTCATCCCTCTAAAAATGGTATGTATAGGTATTGACCCATACCCATGTTGAATCTTGAATTCTCCTGAAACCAAATCCAATAGATCCAAATCCTCCGATTCCTCATATCCTCAATCCCGTGCAGAATGTGCTTCTTCATTCCAACAAGGAAAGACGTTGACGCGCCGGATATGGCGGTGCCAGAGAGAAACCGACAGTTCAAGTCCAAGAGTCGCGATGCGCTTGTATTTTGTACTCTCAAAATTTGGTACATTCATCATCCAGCCATTATACTTCCATTACATCCCGTCATCTACTTCCAAGAATGTGGAATTTAGGCAGCAAATTTTGGTACACAACTGTATCAAAAAAGAAAAGAACGTAAAAATATGTAAAAAATTGCAAACATGATACAGGATACACATTGAACTAGAATGGGCACATTGTGCCCAACAATATACGTAGTATAATCACCCCCAAAAAGATAGAGAAAAGTCAATCTTCGTGAATTTCTAGTGAAGCTTCACTACTTCACTTTTCTTATCTTTTTCGAGATTGTTATAGTCATTGGATTGGTTTAAGGGACAATTGAAACCGGAAACCCCCATAAAACCATGGTTTCCGGTTAAGATTTTCCGTTAAACCAATCTAATTACTATAGGTTTTTGTTTGTTTTTATGGGTGTTTGTAGGTTTTGATGGTTTTTATGGGTCTTTAATAGGTTTTTGTAGCTCTTTGTTGCCAGTGGTGAAATGCGCCATGTGCCTCCACCAGCACCTTGGGGGAAGCTCCGGTGCTGCGGCCGTGGTTCATGCGATAGCGCGCCAGGAAGAGGCCTGCGCTCCTGACTTCAACGGCGCGTCGGTAAGGAATCGCTGAGGAATTTACCCTCTGGTTATTTAACATATGGAAAACCACCATTTTTAATGGGTAAATCCACAATAAATGACCATTTTCAATAGCGATGACAGTTCATATACCATCTGGTTATTTAACATAGCGAACTGGAAAGATCCACCATTTTATAGCTAGGTAAACCATCTATAAATTGGCCATCTATACCATGGCTATATTAAATAACCAGAGGGTATCTCAAAAAGAACACATGGAAAGGAAAAACCTGATCGGTGATAAGTGATGAAGTTACTGTTGAGTGAACATATTTTGGGGTTGCTATAATGTATTCAAGATGAACTATAGTGAATTAATAGAGCCACACTTAAACGCATTCTTAGTAATACATGACTATACATTCTAACTCATGTTCAGACACAGCCTTCACGCACAATGACCTGCAGAACTATCGTCTCTTTGGTAGGGGTTTCCTATCAAACTTCATTGCTGACGTTTGTAGGTGAAGCGGGTGAAGGCCATGTCCAAAATAGATCACTTTGACAATATGATCCTAATGTTAAAATTATGGTAAATTGTACATAATATATATATATACACATACATATCAGATAGTGTCTTAGTTAACAATTCAATATTTTATGTCTGTGATGGCGGCGATCACTATGTCAAGGTAGTTCATAGTGTTCTTGTTTATTGCAGGTTCATTAGGGCCACTACAATCTGAAGGTACATAGTCATGAGGTAAACCCCATGTCATAAACCTCAAATTTGGGATGGTTAACAACTAACGATAAGTTCTCATAACAATTGGGATGAAATGTCAACCCCGCATGAATATGTCTAGTAATATGAGGTGCAGAGTGAATGATTGGAAGTATCATTATTTTTGGAAGTGCCCCAAATAGATTAAATAGACTACAGTACTCATCTCCTCATTCGTGACATGAATCCCTTCCCGCAATCATCCAACAAAAAAAGGCGTGTCAAGAGGCAGGGTTGTTGGCCAGTGGCTAAATGAGATGAACATGCAAGGCTTGTTCATAATTCCTGGCCTGTGGCAGTAAACATCCCTGAAACCGTGTTGTATGGGGTATAGTAATCTCATCTAATGAAGGTTCAATTGTGATAGGAAAGGGATTCAAAGGGGCGGCTGGGTAGCCAGCCAACTGCTAGTTGCCTAATCACACTCATATGTACAATTCAGAAACTCATGAAGTTTAGGCACGACTGCGAGTGCGCAAACCAATTTGCCCTTTGCAGGAAAAGACACCTTGGATACTTTTGGGTTCCAAACGATTTCAAAAAAAAACATGGTGACTGGTTAGACCGTTCGACATTGCTGTATCTGTGACTCTTGCTCATTCCTATCCCACAATGTCCAAAATTACTTTGTTATCATTTTGGGAATTTCACATGGATGTCCCAAATTACTTTGCTGATTTCTATCCCAAAAAGTGTGCCCTAAGTTACCCTTTGGTAAACTAACATAACCATGGAAAATCACAATTTTTTATGGGTCAATAGCTATCTGGTTGGTGGTTTCAACCATCTTGAAAATTATGAGTTCGTCGATGGGACAGATTATCCCATATATGAAATGGAAAATAATCAAAATCTTTGAAACCACCAACCAGATGACCATGTTTCATAGGAAAAATGATGTTCTCAACCAGTGTTTTTTCATAGGATTCTTCAGTCTTAATAGGAAAGCACCAACCAGCTATGTACCCTCCAGCAAATTAACATAGACCTTGGTAGATAGGGGCTGGAAGATTAGTTTCCTCTAAAAATTGGTGATTTTCAGGGTCTATGTTAATTTACCAGAGGGGAAATTACCAGCACGCTACTTCTCACGGTCGCGCTGTTTAACGGGATGGCGAGGCCAGCTTTTTTGACCAAGTCGATGTCTCCTAATGGTGCGATCATCCAGCAGGCGCTGTCTCAACATACCTCAGCTCCGGTCCGAAGCGATCAGATGATGATGAATGGATACTAATATGTAGATATTAATGTATATATATATATATCAATACATATATATATATTATAAATATACGTATAGTTATATATAATTATCAATTAACATATATATATATGTTTTTGGGTAGTAATGGATATCAATGGAATATAATGGAATAATCTCAAAGTAGCATCCAAACATGATCTTGTACTGTAAGTCCCATGAGTCCCGATGGAGTGAGTCCCCGCCAGTACCGAGGTGCTGAAGACGGGCTGCGCCACCTTCCCGGGACCTGCGACTGGGCGACGGGTCATCCATGACGACTGGAGGATGACTGGGGCTACCCCCATGAGAAAATGGAGGTTTCTCCATGTGAAACATTAAGTGAAACCACCAACCTGTGTTTTTTTTTGTGTTTACTTTTTTTGGGTTGACGTCTTGACTCTAAAAATCCCTATCAACAGTCAGGTAGATGCAAGAACCGGTTGTTCAACGGCTAGTCATCCAGACAGAAATTCATAAGTTGTTTGACCCATGACCAGATGGAAGAGAAAAGACACAAGACACAAAGCTGAGAGTACCACTCATCAAACACTGAAGATAACAAACAAACAGGCAACTTGCCAATGCCACATAATTATACATTGGAATAGTATGGAATAGTCATACTACCCAGCTCTTCGAAAGTTGAAATTAACACAGCTAGCGGAATAAACCGTCTTACCCTTAGATACGATTCACATATTTCTGATGTCTGATTTTGAAAAGGGCAACTCATGGCAACTGTGGAAAACATCCATCCGACATTGGAGGTTTTTTTGGCGCTCAAGAACCAAATCATTAATTGATTGTGATAAAGCACTGTTGGTAGATTGGATGATTTATACTACAGAATCGCGCACTGATTTGGTACACCATCCATCCACACGGTATTTTTCTCATTGGGTAAGCATCGCATTGGTATGGGTCCAATTCTCATAATGGATGACGTTTCAAACTAAAATATCTAAAAATGACCAAGATCAAGTGGACTATAATTGATAGAATAGAAAGTCATAGAACGTCTTGTTTATACCAGTACCTATGGTTATCTTGATTTTGACTGAGGTTGTTTCCCTTTTCCTACAACTCGTTTTTTGATTCGTCTGTGCTTCTTCTTTTGGCTTGATTTGTTATTCTTTGGCAGTGCCTGGAGGCAAGTTCCCTCATTGCCAGAAGGCCGTTAGAGGCGCACTCGAAGACTGTGATTCACACTACAGCGGTGCAGTCGCTCTCTGTTTTTGCGCAGTCGCTTTTAAAGCCACTAGCTGGCAGCAAGCAGTCGCAAGTGAAAAAAAAAACTTTGAAATGGCAATTTTCAGACAAACTGTAGATGCGAGAATATCTCAGACTCACATGGGAGGTTTTGTGATCAGGCGTGAAGAGTCTTGAAGCTAAAGAAAAAAACTATAGTTATCATCCAGTACTATACCCAATGACTCTACCCGAATACCATACTATGACTATTCCTATCGGACACCGATTGGTTTAGGCCATGATTCTCCAATATATAGGGCTCCCCCTAAATTAGCTGCAAAAAAACAAATCCAGGAATATCCAGGATAGCTTTTGATGAAGTGTTCCACAATTTCGCAAGTTCCAACTTTTGGATGGCTGGGTTGTAGTTGAAAAACCATGGGGACCCTATGACTGTCATGGGGATTCAACCCTCTCCAAGGTGACCCTCAATGACATCAGTTGGTTGTTGCTACACAAAAAATGAGCCCTTTCAAAAAGTGCCTCTATGATTTGGGAAGTCACTTTTGAGGCTTGAATACTTTGAATCCGCAAACTTGACTCAAAGTGATCGGAATGCCCGGCAGCCGACCATGACTTGGAGTGCTGCTCCCGCTCCCGCTGGCATCTCGAGACGTGGAATGAACGCCTCGAGACGCAGGTTTTGAGCGACTTTCGACGGACTCAGTGTCATGTACAGCTGCTTGAAAATATTCTGTGTTATTCTGTGTTTATGGATGTTCATATTATCTTGCCGATATTGATATATTTTGCCTACATATGTGCGTGTATATATATATATATATTGTATAATATATAATATAAGTATTGTACTACTACTAATAATAATAATAGTAATCATAATAACAATAATAATAATAAAAATAATAATATATATATATATATATATGTACAGCTTATTATGCACGCTCAATTGTACAATAACTATATTGTATACACACAAATTGTGGATGCCAAATTCAGATTGTTGGTTTTACAGAAGCCAAAAACGGCTTCATAATCTGTTCACCCTGAAGCTGAAGTCAGCTGGTACTCTGAGTGCATCTCGGCTTTACTCAGCATGTCGCTTTGGTTTATAGTTAAATCATATTAATCCTCATATGACTGGTTGGCGAAAAACATGTTTACCCCCCTTGTCATTTTTCTAATAGCGACTGAAAATTGCCATTTATGGATGATTTATGGATGATTTATTTACCTATTAGATTTTCCAGTTCTCAAACTGTTAGTTTACCCAGAGGGCAACCAACCCGTTGTGGCTTCCCCAATTCACATCAACCTGAGGGCCACGGCTGGTTCCACGTGAGCTGCACGGTGTGGGCCGCTTCTGACCTGGATAACCAACCAGATCTGATGAATGTGTGGTTTACATTGGTTGTCATTGGTTTACCATCAAAGCATGGGGATTGGACTATCCATAGGCATAGACCATGGGATTAAAAAAACACATTGGATGATTAGCTGTGGCCCCAGACGCGCGCGGATGCCGAACCAGTACTGCAGCTGCATCTCGCTGAGTTCCGGGACATCAACTTGTCCTGGCCAGGAGCGAATCATGGGGACATCTCCAGGTTGAAATTCCCAAGTTTCCTGGTGTGAAAAGATTACAACTAGACTAGTAACTAGGTAACTAGACTTATTGTAGTTATAACATGTTATAACATGTTGTAACCTTCTGAATGTGTTCTCCAACATGTCTTGATCCATAGGTTTTGATGGTTCTGAATCTTGGGCATCCAGAGATCTCATCCACATCCAACAAGGGTTTTGTACACGTGGTGGCTAGCCTCCAGTGTGATCAAACATGGCAAGCTGGGAAATGTCCAACAAAAATGGAGGCTTTGATGGGAACATCATCCATAAACCGGTGTATTTCTGAGGCAGAAATACCGTTTGATTGGTCTAGGAACAGCCCACCACGTTGGGCAAGAGGGCTGCCACCAACTTCCAAAGGCTCCCCATCTGGATTTATGCTATGAAAATCACGAAAATCATCAAAAATCCCCTGGTTTAAAGATGTTTTGAATCCCCTAAGGTTTACAGTAGGTTTACTGAGTTTAAAGCATTTTCAAGCATCATTTTCCCACATTTTCCCCGTGTTTTTTACCAGAAAATGGCACAAGATCCCGCCTTGGAAGACGGATTCCTTACTGAGCTCCAGATCGTCCATGGGACGGCCCCTCAACTCCGCCATCTCTCCTTGCCAGGGCTTGGGAAAAAATGTATATAAATATAGTAAATATATAGGTAAATATGTAGATATAATTCTATAAATCATATATGTAATTATAATAATTTAGGATTGTAAATCTATATTTACCTCTATAGTTTCCTGCACTTTTGCCATCCTGACACCTCTTTTGTTGGATGGTAAATCTATGCACCAGTCTATGATTGTGTTTTGGTTGCCATCCTCCAACCCCGAGTTTATGGTAAACGACACTGGCCTCCCTGGAGGTGTGCTTTCAACTCAGAAATACAAGTCAAAGATCGTCAGATAGTCACGCGAATCAGCATAATCACCCTCCAAACCGCCACAATCATAGGGAAAAAGCTAAACAATCCATGAAACTCATGAAACTCAGTGAAAACAAAACATGGATTGTTACACCAAAAACCATGGTGGTGCAACATCTTTGGTCCATGAAACAATCGTCATCCAGTGACGCAGTGCCGCCCGGGAGGCCAGACGTAAAAAGTCATCGTTCAAGCTGAAGTCTTCGGGTCCTGGAGCTGCCTGTGGGCGGCTGTCTGCTATTGGTGATGTGACACCGTAATACCATTGTTTGATGTATACACAACTCTTAAGATGTCAAAATTGAATGTATTCATGAGTATTTAAAATGCATTATCGATTATATTCTGTAATGTAGAGTTTCTTGGGGTGAATCTGACAGCGGCTTCATGAAAAGATGTCAGCGACATACTGTACGTTCTGGTCGTGTTTGAGGTATCAATAAATATTGGTTAGTATACCAGCACCACAAGCAATCTGGGTGTGTTTGTTTAAATATATTAAACCCTATTCCACATGGATGTCCAATTCATGACCCTGGTATGTTTGCAGCAAAAACAAGGCCCATGCGTGAGTGAAATATAGCAAAATCCAACAAACCGATCCAAATCAGTCATCCTCAAAGCTCTCATCAAAACAATTGAGCCGTTACAGATATCCCTATCGAACCGAGAACCCGTGAAATCCTGCTGACGCTTGGGAACGGATTTTCTCCATGGATTATGATGGATTATGATAATCCCCAATTGTTATTATATTGCTTGTATAATCACCGACTAATCAACAGTGCGACTTTTTCCATGGCAAAATGTCGTTTCGTAGTCGTTGTGACTCCAACAGCCTGCCTTCTTCTTCCAGTTGATATTTACCAATCCATTGGTCCTTGGGGCAGCATCGAAGAGCAAGAGCCCAGCACTGATGTTGCCGACTGTCAAGTGATGTGCCTTGTTTTTCTATAGAAAGTGATCCTTTCTTCACTTGAATGGATAAACGGATAGCCGCACAACACCAAAATCATCCAATTCATCCAGGGGTTGCTCTCCTGGGAGGTGTTGGCTGTCCAACCACCGCAGCCTGGCAGGGGTTGACCAAAATCAGTTTGTTGATCCTCAGAAATCTACGTCGTAGACTATCTTAGCTGGTTGGTGCTTTGAACCGCGAAAAAAATGAGTTCGTCAAATGGGATGATGACATTCCCAATAGATGGAAAAAACAATGTTCCAAACCACCAACCAGTTATTGATATCACATCTATCTGAGATGCCTCGAGAATCCGGAACTCCGACGCGACGCCTTCGGCTTGGGCTTGGGCTTTGCCTTGGGTGGCGGCGGTCCTTTGGCCTGGCATCGGAACCAGGAAGCAGGATATATGTGTTATATATAATATAAATTAATATATAGATATTAATATAGATATTATATGATATATATATATATACAACTAATCAATTGCATATGAATATATGAATTACATGTAAATACTTGAAACCAATTGAATCTCAAGGGACCAATTCTACAGATCACTTGATCAACTTCACATCACTCAACTGGTCAGCTTCAAATCCGGATCTTCCGCCGCAGCTCTAAACATTTCTTCCAGCTGCCGCTCGCTGTCTGGCAGCACGCCACAAGGGCCGTCACTTTCGTCCCGAGGCAACCATCATCTGAAAAATGTCTTTGGTGCCAGCGTTGGGCCAGCCTGGTGGGATATAAATCTTGGGAAAAACGTCAGGAATCACATGTTTGTTTCATGTTTTTTTCAAGCAGATTCTAGCAGGGAATCTAATGATCCATATGGTTTCTGTCTACCAGTTATAGCTGGAGTCGGAGCAATTTGTCCCATCATCGAATTCTGCGAAGGTGTCATGCTGATGTTGGAGATGAATACAAAGATCAAGACTAGTTACATCTAGTTACTACCCAGTCTGGAGTCTGCAAAGACTGAGTCCAAGAGTTCAATCTTCAACCTAATAAAGGAGGTCTGTCCTTGAGCTTTACGCTCATTTCCAAGCAGCAAGTAACTGCAACATAGATACTATCTTGCCTTTTCCGATGCCAAACCGTCAAAAGGATTAGATCCAAATCGATCCAACAATTTCTGTTGATGGTTGAGGAATCCACCAACAAAAAAAATGCCGCATACTTTCTACTCAAAGAAATCCAGTCGTCGAATGATGGGAAATTTCCAAGCCGAATTGTTCGGTGGTCCTTCTGCACGTTCCTTCTCAAATGGCTGACGCACCAGATCCACTTCTGACATCGAAGCGTCCTTCAGCCATTGCCTTGGCTGGTGCACTTACCCTCCGATAATCAAACATGGCGCGCTGGAACATCTGCTATAAATGAGGTTTTAATAGAAACATCGTGCTATAAAATGCTGGATTACCCTGTTAAGTTTGACTACCTATGGGAATCCTATGGGTAGGCAATATCCCTTCACACGGGGTCACGGTCACGCCTCATGGTGAGGCGTAGCTCAACAACTTCATGGCTACGACAAAAAGTGTTGACCATTGTTGACCATTGACCCGACAGCTCCTGGCCTTCCAAAATGAATCTCGATGCCACGATGCTTTGAAATAAGCCCAAGAACTTCAGTGTTTTTAGCGGTCAGCTGGAATATGTTTAGTTCTGGCTGACATCTGCAAAGCTGCGATATTCTGAGCATCGATATTGTATGCTTTAAAATTCTTCAAATGCCATAAATATCTGCTACAGTGGACAGCCACAAACGCAGGATTGCTGCAGGGCGGCGTTAATTCCTTCGCAGGAAGTCCTCGTTCGTGCCAAGGCATTGTTTGGGTGACGAATGGTGATCCAAATGAAAACGTGGGAAAGCATGGGAAAGCATGGGAAAGCAGCAAGCATACAGAATTATGCCATTGGTAGCCATTAAATAAATGTACCAGGTGTTTTTGTTCAACTGGCCATTCTAACCAAAGGTTTTGGATGGTTTTGGGTATATCTGATACCCTTAAACCAGTGGATGCGGATGGATAAAGATGCATCATAAAGGCTCAGTTCGCTCCACGAAATCGTAGCATTCAAACCCCTCTGGAGATGTTACCTCCTGATGATTTTCAAGACATCCCCCAGAGGACATCCTGTCATGTTGTCGCAGGCCTGGCTACACGCTTGTCATATGCCAAGAACATTTCCATCTGGGAAACCACCCTGGACATAGAAAGTCCCATCTTTAGCTGGTTTTTCCATGGAATATGTGTTCCGGAATCATTTCCTTTCCACATTCAGCTTGGTTACTGGGTAAGCCCTCCATTGACACCCTGAAACAGGGTGTGTCTAAACATAGACTATCCCTAGATCCACCGGTGAATCCTCATCCATCATTTTCCCATCATTTTCCCTATGAAAACGCGGTGATGAATTTCATGGCCATAGCTCTGAGTTCATTCCCATTGACATCCAGACATTTCATCCACTATGGCCCTGCCCATGCCTTGCAATCCTTGCATCCCAGACACCATCATGCTCATAGTGATCTCCCTTCCTGCCACTGATCTGCTTATGGGTGCTTCAGCTACGAATCACATCGAATCACCGTTTCAAAATGTTTCAAACATGTATAACATGTACATCTCAGGCGAGGATAACAAGTGATCGAAACCATCAACTGCTGAGTCGGGATTCAGACATTGTCAAATCACCTGCAAGCATTTTAACATATTTTAACATATGTCATCACAAAAAGCCTTATCTTCAAACAAAAAAACGGAACCATCCAACAGAATTCCAACTCTCAGCCCGGCCACACACGGCTGAAGTCTCTGCACCAGGAGCCTTTCGGATTCTTTGTGAAAGATCCGGGCATTCTCCGTGGCCTCAAAATCCACGATGACCAGTCTCCCTGACGGCCTGGCTTTCATCTTTCGTGGTGATATATGGTGATGTGAAGGTCCAAACTAGGTCACGTTTGATGATCTTATATCGTTTCATATCATTTCATATGTTTGATGATCTTCGCTTATTTTGATCTCATTCTCATAGTTGTTCAATGTAAAGGTGCATCTTCTGTTTGCACCCCAACTGGTCCAAACATGTTTGACAAACACAACTAGAGTGCAATATATGTTCAGCGAAATAAGAGGATTTGATCAGCATCTTTGATGATCCGACATGGTCCGACATGCAGATTTCACAACGCTCACCCTCCAGAAACCGACTCCAGACCTGAGAAGGGACGAAAGTTCTTTCAACTGCAGCGCGCAATCCTTCACGTGGTGGATGCATAACATACCTGAATTCAGGAGTGACGCTCTGATCTGCTCGAAAAATTCTTCTGATTTCCAGACTTTTTCACTTCGACGCACAGTCTTGCTATCTTGATCTATCTTGTATGAAGACCACAGGAAAAAATGCGAGGTTTCTTGGGCCAACAAAATTGAGTCAAATTCTATTGCTACAATGTCGTAGACAGAGCGGATTCGTGGCGCTGATCTGTCTACAAGTTCCAAGAAATGCCAGTGACATCGATCCTTTTCGAAATTGAAGCGTCATACACTTCAGTGGAACAGAACCATCAACCTTTTTGTCTGTTTCCACCAGAATCAAACACGAAAATTGCCTTGGAATGCGTGCCCAGGTGCTGACAATCAGATCAAACTCACCTGCTTCTTGTAGACTTCCTTAGGTTTCAAAAACTTTCAGTGAAATCTGTACCCGCTGAGGGTCCCAGGAAAAAACCTTGAATGTGACTTTAGGTCAAAGAATGGTCAAGGATCTGGTAGTTCGCATCTTGGATTGCATCCCGGCGGCAGCGATTTTCTCCTAGCACACTGGCAACATCTCCACCATAGGCAGAATAGATCGCCATGAGGGGATGTTCATGTGCTTCTCAGGTGATTGATTAGCTGCCTTTGCCCTTCCTACAAATTCCCAAGTCGTTCCATGATGTTACCAATTCTAGTCAAACATATTAGTATTTGATTTGGGCTTAATTGAAAAATGGGCCCCCTAATTCCATCTATACTATATATAATCATCATCATCCTTGTGAAAATTGCACCTTTGTGCCATCTCCCATTTTCAAACTTTTTCAGACAGATCCAAAATATAGACTGTCGGCTTATTATCCCATGAATGTTCCACTAAAACCATGAAACCCTATTTTAGCTGGTTCATCCCCCTACTTTTCCCCCACCACCAACTGGACCTCCATCACCTCCAGCATGCCCTGCGATGTGTCCAGACCCAGCACCGCGCTGCACCAGGGTTGCAGTTCGAAGGCCAGGAGACCTCCATCGCTGGCTGAAGATTGTATCGTCAACATGAAGCCATATATCATTGGTGGTATATCTACCCCCCTGAAAAATATGATTTCGTCAGATTGGATCATCATCCCAACTAGGAAGGGGAAAATAAATAAAATGTTCCATAAACCACCAACCAGCAATACATATATCATGCATCATGCACACAAAAAATCCATGAAATACACGTCTAAAGGACAAGCAACAAACGTCAACAAACGTCATGATTTGGCTAGATTCCGGTGGAAAAGGTCATCGCTCGATTCCGGTGGATGGAATCAGAATGAATCAGACATGCCTGTGCGACAGCCTTTTTTTTTCAGAAGCCTTCAGCAAACAGAAGCTATATCAATCTATATCATCTATATCTGGATTTTTATCATTTGGACATCTTGACTTCTTTCACTTTACAGAAAAAAAAGGTAAACCATTCTTTCTGTAAAGGAACCTGGCAGCCTCAAAGCCGGGAGAAATCAATCGATGTAGCGTCTCAGTAGCGCCATCAATGGTCGAAATGACGAAATATCAATCCCATCTTTGACACTAACTCTACACATGCTTTCTTTCGGGGAGTCGAAAAATCAACTTAGATCGTTTTATATCCCATCATATCTCCCATTAAAATCATGAAAAATATCTCCATACTTTACGATGTCATCTCATGATATCCCCATGACTTGCGCCGTGCTGGATCTAAAACCAGGCCGTGATTCACGGCCTGTGCCACAGCCAAAGTCCAAGCAGCGACCCATGGCCTCCGAAGAAGTACTCCCGAGGGGATGAGTAGTGGGGTAAGCGTAGACTTGGCATAGTAATATAATCACGTAATTAATATATGATAATAATAATATATACAAAATATACAATATAATAGTAATATATATATATATATCATATATATGTAAATATCATGTAATATCTGTAATTAGTCATTGTAATTACTATAGATATTCTATTGCCATTAGTGACTTATAGTTCTTGGATGCTATTAGTGAACTTATACATACTTATACTACGAATTTAATACAGAAAGTCATGTCAGTTATGGCTTACAACGGTTGAGCTATATCAGCTGTTGGTTTTTGTTTGGTGAGTGTCCGGTGAACCATTCAAGAACAAATCCATCCAAAGGATTGATGTAGCATGTCCAGCTAGCCACGGATCAAATTTGAATCACTGCAGTCATGACAACAAGCAATCATCAAGTCATCCTAGAAATGTGGCCTTTCAGGATAATCTTCAGACCTTTTTTATCCCCCTGCGAAATGGAAAATTGATGAAAATTGATGAAAATTGAGTCAGTTGAGTCAGTTGAGTCAGTTGAGTCAGTTGAGTCCAAGTCGTCACGGAAAAAATTCCACAGTCGCCATTGATCCGGTGATTTAAGGCGCCCAGCTGCGCCCTCCAGCTGCGCCTCAGGGCTTTTCCGAAACCACTTCTGCGCTTCAATCAAGCGCGCAGACATTGCCTCGATCCCGAGGATCCCGAATGACTTGCTCGAAATAAGTGAGGTTTAAAGTGGTCCTGGGGTCTTGTCATGTCTTGTCCATAACTTATAACTTCATCTGGATGTTTCCAAATTGGCCCGCAAATCCGACAGGCCTATTACCCCACGACTGAGGAAAGCACCCTTGCAACAAATAATTTATATGATAGAGGAACACCTCTCATTCTGGGTGGTGAAATGCAAAACAACTTGACATTCTGTCCCAGCGAAAGGTCCAATTCCCTTCTATATTCCTCCCCGTAAATCATAAATTAGTCTCCTGACATCAATTCAATCATGATTCATATCTATCATATTCATATCTTATCTGCACTTTCCAATAATTGAAAAAGAAAACAAGTTCCTTCAAATTGGCGAGATCAATTCAATCATGTGGTAAATTCACCCAATTTCATACAACCCTCAAAAGTTCAACTGGGCTTTGGTTTATGGCGATGATGGCGATGAATCCCACATCCTGATCTACCCGGCCTGGTAAACTAACTGTTTGCTATGGAAAATCACCATTTTTTACTATGTAAATCAACTCTAAATGGCCATCTTCAATAGCTATATAACAAATTACCAGAGGCTAACAGCAAACAAGCGGCCACCATGGCCATCTTCTCCTTGGTATCCCAGGTCGAGGCCCTGGAATCGAAGTTACTCAACTTACGGCTGGCGAAGATCGGAGCCTGAGGACGCATTGACACAGCTGATGTGCCTGCAGCACTGTGCCCGTTGCTTGCTTTACACAATAAAAATGGTTTCAATATGTTTCAATCATGTATTCACTTCCCTGGTGCATCATCAAGCGCATCTAGGAGCATGGGAAAACATGGAAAAAACATGTAAAACCATCATGTTTGCTGATCACATGAAGTCACATCCCCATTTATATATTAGGTGTTGGTCAGATACACGGCACGGTTAAATCAGATGTTGAAACCCAAATTTCTATGAATTTTCACCATCATTCACCAGCCTGAAATAGGGAATCAATTCCCTCTACCATGATTTACGGTGACGTTGTGGCGTCCTTGTGATTCACCACCCAAATGGATCCAAATGGGTGATCAATGGACCCAAAATGGAGCCAAAAAGGAAACTGCTAATCTTTCTACCAGAAGTGAGGCCCCAATCATCCCAATCTGAAGGGATTGAATAGAGCTGGGAGCTTGCAATTCACTCTGTTGTCTCTGAAGTGACTGTGCGTTGATGTGATCTGTCTCCAATTGGGCATGGCTCAAGACGGGGGTTTAAAAATGGAACTACGAGACTGGCTGCTTTTAGTATTAAACCATCCAGTGTCTGTAAGGCTTTAAATAGCAGTGGGAAAAAATAGTACTAATTACTTTACTTCGTGTGATCCCCACCATGACATTTATACATGTTCTTACTGGCACATATTCTGGCATTCTATCTGACATATCTTCTGACATTCTATTTGGCATTCTATCTGGCATATCTTCTGGCATATCTTCTGGCATTCTATCTGGCAAATCTTCTGGCATTCTATCTGGCATATCTTCTGGCATTCTATCTGACATATCTTCTGGCATTCTATCTGGCATTCTATCTGACATATCTTCTGGCATATATTTTGACATATCTTCTGGCATTCTATCTGGCATTCTATCTGGCATATCTTCTGGAATATCTTCTGGCATATCTATCTGGCATATCTTCTGGCATATTTTCTGGCATATTTTCTGGCATTATACCTGGCAAATCTTCTGGCACTCTATCTGACATTTTATCTTCCTACATGAGGTCCGGCAGGGAACACTTGGCGTGGATACTCGCGGTTGAGGTCCGGCAGGGAACACTGGGCGTGGATGGTCGTGGTTGAGGTCCGGCAGGGAACACTGGGCGTGGCTGGTCGTGGTTGAGGTCCGGCAGGGAACACTGTGGATCGCGGGTCGCAGTTGGACGAGGACGACGAGGACGACGAGGACGACGAGGACGACAAGGACGACAAGGATGACAAGGAGGACGAGGAGGACGAGGAGGAGAGGAGGAGAGGAGGAGAGGAGGAGGAGGAGGACGAGGCAGGAGGAGGCAACTGACATAAAATCTAACAACCCTCACCTGGCAGGTGGGGAATTAAACCATCCCATATTGAGGTCAATCATGTTGATGGCTAAAACTAGTTTGGATGGTCAAATGGCCAAACTCGGAACTCCCATTTGTTATCATGCTTTAATGGTTAAATGCCGTTAAATACCCTGAAATATTGGATTCAGCTAATATCTGCTAATACCTGCTAATCATGAGTACTCAGTGAAACGACACCTCGCTATGTGGCCACGTAACATCTTTGGCCCATCGCCTAGTCCACGATACCATGCCACGTGCGGTGCACATGGCGCTCACTACGCTCTAAAATCTTGGTGGTGACGGATGGACAGCAATGTCAAATGTTGCATGTGCGGTGCGTGTTCACATTTGCTGATCCACTCCAACGCGGAAAACTCATCCCATTCTGAAAGGATGGAGGTCATGATGCCATGGATGGCTTGGTCACGGGTTTCAGACTTCCAGATAAGTTTATCGTATGATATAAGTCTCAAACCAATTTGCAACAATTCACAAGGGGTATTTGAGACTGATGCGTGAATGGATTAATGGATGACCAGGCATTCTTGATGCAGCTCCGAATGTCCTCATCAAAACACCACCAGTTGCTGTATGTGGGGTCGATGACCAGAATTGCACAGCTATTCTATTTGAGCTGCAACATGATTGCAGGCCGGGTAGTCCACATAGCTGGTGCTATCACGAACCCTCCCATCCAACCATTGCAGCTGTACCTTCACCGCAGGGCGAAGTGACGTGGCCGACGTTGCCGTGCTAGGTGCACTCGCCCTCAGAGAGGGTGGAAAACCCAATTTGGATACCTTTTGATTAGTAAACAAATGTAAGAAAGTACTAGCAACTAATCTCATCCCCCTAATATTGGGTAGCTTCAAGGGACCCCTATTCATCAATAGATCCAATACTAATACTAAACCAGGGGGTTCGTATGGTTTCGATTAGTAATATTCGGGGGGAAAGGTGACAGTAACAAAAACGGGAAGGTAAGCAGCAAACATCGGTGTGGACCAAGGAAGACTTGCCTGAACTTAAAACTCCAACGAATCCAATGTTCAAACTGCAGTTGTTTTTTCTGAAAATGGGGGACACACCATTTCATGCCCATCCATTTATGGAGAACATTGGATGATGTGGAAGAACATTGGATGATGTGGACCTTTGGATGTCGTGGCATCCAAAATTTGAGACCAGGTTGTATAAGCACAGGTTCCATGGGTGAAAAGTCGTAGCCAAAAAGATATGTACCCAAAAAGTGGACGGTGACTGCGAAATATGATCAGTTCATGTGCGGTCCAATATAGCAATATAGCCCAATAAACTCCAACCGTCTATCAGAATCGTATTCAAAGATTCTAGGGATTCTGAAAAAAAAAACAGAACGGCCCCAAAAATGGGGGAGTGATTGTTGCTCTAAAAATTGTCAAAAATACCCGTAAATTTACAGAAAAAATGGGATATCCATGAATATCCCATACCACCAAATTGGGATGATACAATCCCCCTTACACAATCCCAACATCAACCTCGCTGGGCGCTTCGGACGGAGCCGCACCTGAAGCCTCCGGCGCCAGACACACCCATTATGCAAGCAAATGTTGTAGTAGTTTTAATATACTGATATATACTGATATTTTATATATATATATATATATCATATATCTATATATAGGATCTATAATGTTATGTTTTTCAGGATGTGGTTTCTACTCCGAATCTGAGCTCATGCATTGTTATGTTTGGGATCGCCCAGTTATAGATTTAGATCAACATGAATCAAGCATGGAGTTTCAACATGTTTCAATAGGTGTTTAAGGATGGTTTCACTGGTGACCAACAAACTTCTCCCTGATTTCGGAGATCCAAAGCTGATTAATTTGTTGGAACGCTCAGTCATCTTCTTGGTCACCAGGAAAGGAATGTCTGATGAATAAGAACAAAGGTGTGGTCTATTATGGTCGATTGGAAAATACTGGAAATGAGGTCGTCGAATGAATATCTGCTTGGTGGTTGCTGCTAACCCCTCTGAAAAATGATGATATGAAAGTCAGTTGGGATGATGACATTCCCAACTGGAAAAATCAAAAATGTTCCAAACCACCAATCAGATATGGATATATGGTCCATAGAAATAGATGGTTTACCTAGCTATAAAATGGATCTTTCCAGTTCGCTATGTTAGTCATAACCAGATGGTAATTCCGGGGTCATCCATCAAATTCCAATTCACCTGGTGAGGTCGTCCATCTACCACTTCTTCAGCTGAAGACAAGCCAATCTTTCCTTCCTGGCAGGCACAAAGGCGGCTGTTTTTTTTGATCCAATACTAAGACTGGTTGGTGGTTTTTACCATCTTAAAAAATATTAGTCAATGGGAAGGATGACATCCCATATATTATGGAAATAAAAAATGTTGGAAACCACCAACCAGAAGAGGTTGAAGCACCAGGATGTTTGGCTATGTCTATTGGTGGTGATGTTTGGCAAATTGGAATTTGATTTTTCGTGATCATGCTGATGTTCAGTGACAACAGCAACTGTAAAATAGCAACGTTGTAACAGTAACAGCAGAAGCAACATGAAGCAACAACAGCGCGAGCAAGAGCAACAGCTAGCTAGGGCAGCAAAAGATAGAAATATCGCTACTGCTACCTTCACTCTTGCCATCATCACAACCCCGTAGTGCTGCCTTCTACATGTCATGATAGAAGGGCAGGGCAAAGCGCCATTTGACACCCTGTTACACTATCAAAAAGCGAAGAGGAACCCATTCAAAAATGTGTTTGAAAATTGCAAGGTCTGAGCAACGGAGCGTCACTCTTTCCGATGTGCTTGCCAAAACCTTTTACCTCAACTCAAAGATATTAACAACTGACACTTTGGGAAGTTGGCGGTTCATGTGGGAATTGATCAATGACCAGACCCTGCAAAAGTCTGAGTAAATAATACTAGCATAAATGCAGCATAAATTATAGATAATCTTCCTTGACCAATTAGCTCACTGGAGAGTGGATTCAGTTCCGAGGCTTCCCGATTTCGTGGTCCTTCAACTTCTTTTCCAATTCCTCTCTTTGCTGCCTGCCAGCTGTGATTGGACGGGACTCTCCCAAGTTGCTTGGGAAACTCAGCTCTCGTAGCTCCACCCTTGGAAAAAGTTGGATCCAACCATAGCTCAGATCAGTGCTCCCTTCACCATTGGATAGTCATCCTTTACACCTTCGAATCCAGTGATGATCCCACTTTGCTTTCCCACACCTCAACTGTTCATGCCTCAACTTCAACCTGAAGCTTGCGGCGATTCAGATTGGCTGCTGGTGTTTTCATGAAGCTCGACTTTACTGTATATCATGTACAGTACCCAACAAAAAAGATGCCGAAAAGTGGTTCCAGGATGGCATGGTTTCCAACATTTCCATCTTTTTGGGGATTTTTGCAGACCCCAAAAAGAATGGAGTTCCCGCTAGGGATTCTGGGACAATTGAACAAATGCTTAAGCAAGGGATGTCACTTGGGATTCGAAGAAGTGTCCCCTTCCATGATCGATTGATCAACTCAAAATAGAATGTTGTGGTGTCACTTGGGATCAGTCGAGCTGAAAAAGCCTCAACCTCTTCCGAAAAAAGGCAGTGTATTTGCTGAGATATTCTCCCATGTTCAATCCTTAAAAATACATAAAAATACCAAAAATCATTCAGACATATTCAGAATACATCCTTTTTATCGGCATTGAAAAAATCGGGAATTTGCTGAAACATCCCAATTTTTCTCCATATTCAGAAATTCAAGATGTTTCAGCAAAATCTGGCATCAAAGGCACTGAAACATCCCATATTCAGAATCTCCAACTCCAAAACAACTCCCAGGCCTTTCTCCTTCGCCAGGCCCCCAGGCTGCGTTGCTTGGGCCGCCCAAGGCTTTTGCGCCGTCTGTAAAAGCTCCCTGCTGAGGCGGAGCCACTGCCTCCGATGCCATGAACTCGATTTTTGCGGAACATTGGGGGATTCACTGGTTGGTGGTTGACCTACAAACCCCCCATTGTAGTGAATATACTGTTAATAATGGTTTATATATGGTTAATATTGATGGTTTTTATTAATGGTTGTTATATGGTTAATAATAATCTGGTTGGTGGTTGGTTGCTGCTAACCCCTCTGAAAAAATGATGGACTTAAAGTCAGTTGGGATGATGAAATCTCCAATATGATGGGAAAGTCATAATCCATTCCATGGTTCCAGTCACCACCAACCAGCTACATTATGATTGTGTTTATCTATATATAGTGTATAGCGATGTATACCACTATTAGTTCCAGGATGTTCCAGGTTTATGATTGTGTTTACATGTATTTACTACAGTTACTACATGATTCGAAGAGGAAGGCGCTTTCTGATGGGACTGTCCTATATGCGCTTTGACAACGAGGAACTTTCAGTGGCAATGTGTGATGTGGATGATGTGGATGGCCCGATTGCAATCCGAAAAGGAACACTTATTATATATTATCTTATATTTACATATATTTACAGTGTCTTATGGTTAACGGATATTGTATTAAAGTAGAGGGGCTCCGAAACCTAGGTTTTAGAGTTTTAGAGCAAAAAATGCATTTCATCTTAGCTCTCAAAGGAAAACACATCACAAAATGGGCCCCTTGGTCATTCAACTCTTTGTATTTTGGAAGGGAGTTTCTGAGAGTGGAAGTCCACCCCAAAATTATGAAATTATGAGCCCTTCGAGTTTCTGTTCATTAAGAAAAAATCTGAACAATTTGAGAGACAACTGAAAGCACTTGATATGTAATTTGTTTTGGGATGTTCATATTGTTTTCATATTGTTTTCACCTAAGCTGGCTTATTATGGTGCCCTTCCTTGGACCATGAATGGTTGATGGCCTCTGTTGCGTCTCTGCTGCCGACTCCCTCAGGACTGTCCTCATGGCGCGAGTTCTGCCAGGGACTTCCCCGGTGACTGCCATCATTTTTTCAGTGGGAGATGGTAAGCAGTTTAGGAAAGGTGTAAATGTGGGTAAAATAATGTCATAAACCACCCATTTGGATGGAATGGAATGGTTGAATTCCCACCTATTTCTGGTGATTTAGGGGATGGTTTATAATGCCCTAACCTTCCAGTTACCTCTGAGATAGCTAATCTTTGGTGATGAAAAGCCTGATGATAAATTGGGGTTTGTTACTCAACTATCTCATAAATTACTGGAAGGCGAGGATCATGTTATATGATGTTATATGATCTGGCTATGGGTCAACGCTGGTGGACACCAAAATAGGTGGCATATGGATGTTCATTCCCCCAAAATATATCAACATTTTGGTTCTGGATGGTTCTGGCACGTCCCCAATCATACCCATATATCTCATGACTTGGGAATTGTTTCAAGGAAAAAAATCAACAATGCAGGAAGCTATCTACGAAGGCAAGCACAAGTGAGTGAACACTGACACCGTGCACAGAAACCCTCGGATCTCTCGGTCGACTCACCCACCTCATCGTTTTCAATCTTGATATATGAATACATATGAATACTCATCCTCAACCAAGCTGCAGTGTATGCTTCGGAATTTTGGATATTCTGCTGGATGCAACTGGATCTCTTCATGTTCTCGTGTCAAGTGCGAAGAATGTAGGGGCATCACCCTCATAATTTGGCCTGTAGATCGATGACTTCCTATTTATATATATATATATATATCTAGTCTATAACATATTACAATATTATATATGCGTTCGCCAAAGGGGATGAAAAGCCCAAGCTAAGGATGGTCATTAGTGTGGTTTCGAGTACTAGGACTTCCATTTCTAATACCTCCCAAAAAAATGACAACAATGTAAACAATTGTTCCCCAGCATTTACCACCATTTTGGTAGGATTTCACTGATTTTTTTTTATATCTTCTTTGGGATTTGCTATCCATTAAAACCCTCAGGGTCTTTTGCCAAACGGCAGTTGCGATTTCAAGCTGGCGAGGACCGAGTTCGCCACCTGCACCGAGGGACATGCATGGCAGCTTACGGTAAGTTGGCAGCTTGCGAAGTGGAGCATCACCATGTTTAACAAGTAAATTGGTAAATCAACCATCATTTTCCATAGCTATGTCATTATTATGTCACAACCTACGTTTTAAAAAAGTTGGCCCTTGGCCCGGCCTTGACTCTTGACCCCTCGACCCCATCTACTGCTTCGGGCTTAGCCGCTAAAGCCTCATGGAAATTGGGCATCACAATCCCCCAAAAAAATTAGGTACAGTAGCATAATCCCCAACTGTGCATGGACAAGCAACCATCATTGACCATCATGTATCAGAATCCATATCTTTTAGAAGTGAAAGCCCCATAAAACATGATAAAGCCGCTATAGTTGATGGCTAAGTCCCATTAAACTCTGGCTGGTTGTAATCGTAATAACGGCCATTTGGGAAGGACTCCCGGAATCCTAATCAGCATTCCAGTGACGTCACATTGAGGTCATTATATGATATGTCATCCATATTAAAACTTAATCAACAACAGCACGTTTCGTGTGTGTGGAATTCAATGGATTGATTTAGGGAATAATTTTACACGAAAGTAGCGTCTTTTAAAACATTACCCCTGGCCAAAAAATTGGGGTCTTCCTGTTGATTTTCCCTTCAACCAATGGCCTGAGATGAACGGCTAGTCTGAGATGGCTGCTTAGGGTACTTCCCATGGGATGATGGGTTCCCAGGTGGTTTTTTGTAGGTTTTCTTAAGGCAATTGGGGTTTGTGGGATGACAAACTCAGTGATGACAATGAGTGATGGCCCTGGGCCATTTTTGGGGATTTTGCTGGGGCTTCGGCTTTGTTTTAGTGGTGTTAATTGGAAACACCATTGGAATCCCACAAAGTATGGCCAAAAACCAAATTGAAGCCCACACCAACACCATCTAAACCTAAAACATTTTGGAGAATTATAAGCTGATGATTGGAGACAGTTTTGCTGGCCCAAGCCAAGTACTTAGCTAGGTTAAGATGACTTTAACGAAAAACATGTCGTCCGAATTGCGATGGTTTGCCAGGGTTTTGATTGGGATTTGCCATGATTTTATTTGGGGTTTTCTGGAGTTTTCTGGGTTTTCCAGGGCTTGAGTGTGAACAAACAAGGGCTTCCGCACAAGGATTTCACTGGGAAAGGGTGGGCCTTGAGAAATCAAGACCAGAACAGAACACTATGGCAAGCAGACCTATGAAATGTATTGACATGTCATAAACCACTCATATCTTCATGGTTTATACATGGTTTATACCACGCATTTGAATCATTTGAATATCATTTATGGCCAAGTTGGGCATGAAATAACTACTGCTTTACTCTCACATTGTAGTCATTCAAGTAACCAAGGTCCAGATACCGGTCACCCGCCTCTCGCGCGCGGAGGACTTCTGCCTGGCGCTGTGTGGTCCGAAAAAAATGGGGTGTTGCACTTGATCCAAAGTGTTAGGACCCCATTACTGCTTGGTGGTTTCAACCCCTCTGAAAAATATTAGTCAGTTGGGATTAGTATTCTCAATATATGGAAAAAAATGTTCCGAACCATCAACCAGATTATGTATTCAGAATATTTATGTGATATAGATCTGGACAGTTATTCGGGGTGAGAACATTGATGAACTTGAGAAGTGGTTTCAATCTTTTTCCAACCTTGATCAGGTTTTAAATCACTAGTTGTTCCTCTATAATTATCGTTTCGACTTCAACTGCTAAACTGAAGCGGTTGACCGATTGACCACTATTTCAGCAGCAAAAAGTGATGTTTCACCCCTTTCAAATGTCGAAAGACAATAAGGAACACCTGTTTGACAGAGGGGTCATCCAGTCAATCCCAGGTTCATAATGACCTCAGCTTCATAGTACTGGCTAGTCACTTTATTGGAAGATCTGATGCTTCATGACATTTCATGACTTTTTTTTTCTAGTGATGCATAGTACTTCATAGTACAGCTTGATATACTGGTTGGTGGTTTTCAACCCCTCTGAAAAATATGAAATGTCAGTTGGGATGATGAAATTCCCAATATATGGAAAGTCATAAAATTCATGTTCAAAACCACCAACCAGTATAGCTTGATGGGAATCCCAAACGAATCTTAGGGACGGACCAACATCAAGCCCGCCCCTTGGGTCCCACTCGGGCCCTGGCATCTGCTGTCTCCATCTCAACCTGTGTGGCCCCAAGAAAAATATACAAGAATCACATGGAAGCGAGACGTAAATGATGGAAATTAGATGGAAATTAGAGACAACAAGTCTTCGACTTTTTCGACTCTTGGGGGTTGGCAATTTTGTTGTGATCATCCCATGCTTGATGCTTGGGAGGTGAAAAATCAACATGCCCTTCTTGGAGATGTCAAGGAGCCGAAAACAACGAATGTATACGATATCCTCAGGAAACCCAAGATTGCGACCACCATACATTTTCTGACACGACTCGTTGTGTTAGTGCAATCAGTGCAATCTGTAGTGCCTCCATCTGGAAAGCAGCTGGTAACTATGTATGGCAGCCCAGGGGGGCCAATGACAACCCGTACCCTTCAGCTTAAAGCTTTGCAGCCAAAACGGCGATGTGAGGAAGCTCCAATAAGGGTGAGTCAAAACACGAAACCAATGGGTGTTTCCCAAATAGCAGTACCTCTTCTCACCATTGGTTTCCCAATTGAAAAACAACCAATCAATTGGATTATGTATAGGGTAGGCCCCTCTGTACCATTTCAGGAGCTCCCAAACGGAGGACTTTGGTTTACCACTGCTCACTGCTTACTGCTTGGCAACTTGTGCTTAGGATCGGGACTTTGGTGATGATGTGCCTATTTGCTGCAACCATATAATCATATATAACATATGATAACAAAAAACACTCCAGCAAACCAGAATAAACATGGAAAATCCATGTCTTTTCAAGAAAATGATCTACACGACATGGTCCCTTTTCATGTCTTTCTTGAGTGATCTCTTTTTCAGTCATGGCAGGTGCATGCAGGCACGACTGCTGGCACCGTGCAACTTCACCAACAACGACAACAAGAGTAGCAAGGTTGACTAGTGGTACTTATGGTACTTGTAGCGGTAATTACTGGTTTCCGTGGTGGTTTCTGATTCATAATGGTTTACAGTTCATTAGCTTCATAAGTACCTTCTGCTATACTAACGTAGCTACGGAAATCCATGGGTTTATTTTGCTGGCGGCATTCCGCATAAACCCATTGAGCAGGTCTTCAGAACCATGGTTAATGCTGGGGCGCTCCAAAAAGGGACTTGGATCCACCCAATTTTTTGACCCGTCCCCCACAGGGACAATGATTGCGACTGCGACTGCGAATGGCTGTGGCATCCTTGTGATGCTGATGGAGAATGCTGGCTTAGCACAGGCAGCGTGGGAAACTGCACGCGCTTTTTGAGCGACCCCAGTGAGTCACTGTACCAGTTTTCTATCTGTTTCTTCTGAATTACACTATTTCATCTCTGATTCATATTTGATTCTGAAAGGCTACGAACATAAGAACCTGAGCTTCCAGCGTCCTTATGCGCCCTATGCGTCGAGTCCTTTTTGCGTTTGGAAACACGGTTTTTACCAAGCTATCTCTTGCTGTCTCCATTTGGGTTTTCTATCAGCAGCATCATCACTGGAGGCGAGAACTACGACTCTTGGTATCGTCTCCTGCAGCTGCTACAAAGGTGGCGAACAACATGGGCAACACTGGGCTGAAACATATCCTGGTGGTGTAGTAATTAACCATGGTTACAACACACTATACATATATATATATATATATATGTAATTAACCATGCATATATTTTTCATATAAATACATATATATATATATATACATCATATGGAAACGTATGGGATTACCCCATCTTACCCCCACGAACCGGGGGACAAAAACGATCTGCAGGGTGATCCTCCACCCATGAAAGGTGTGGGACGGCCAAGCCGACATGCCAAGGCCGCAGGAACTCTGAAGGTCCAACACATTCAGGAAACACACCCACACACACATCCTGTATGCCATACATATGTCTAATGAATATATATATATATACTGTATGTAGATAATATAATATGTATGTATGTAATTATGTATATATATATACGTATGTATATATATATATATGTATACATACATATTCTATGAAGTAGCCCTGTATCATGTTTCTTTCCAAAAGTTGGGTCGTCGTGGGATGGTTAGCCCCATCAGCAAGTAATGATGGCTGGCTTTATATAGCCCATATCACCATATCATGTATATCACCATAAATATTGAATATTCTCTTGTATCCCCATTTTTATATCATTCACATCTATATATATATATGTATATATATATTATCATATATATATGCAGTATATATAGACTTCAATGACATCATCTCAACGTCCACCGGAGTGCACTGTCCTGGCGATCAGCACATGCAGTGCAAGCGCCCTGGAGCTAGCAGCGCTGGTGGAGCCACACATTGCAAAACACGTCAAGGAGTTGTTGACTCATCCATCATCACAACAAAAAATGGAGATGCTTATGTTTATATCAATTTACCAACAAGAATAAGATATTACTGGCAACATCATTGGAATATGATGAGAGGATATGTTAAAATATGTTAAACAACATATTTCACCCACAATATGAACCTATTGATAATCCCACCCATTCCTGATGAAACGCCGATATCAACAACAGATATCCCATAAACTAATTTAAGGGATATCTCATGGGTCTGTATGTATCCTTAATATGTTCTTTCATATGCTTGTTAGCATCTATCCCATTTTATCCCATATATGTATCCCCCATGTTTTCTCATCTATCCCAATTTCATACCCATTTATATTGATCTTTGATATTAATGTATCTAATGGATCCCATTAAAAGATGGCGATTTTTCATGTCAATGGATATCATATGGGTAAGATAATTATCTTTGATATCCCATTATTTATGATTATTCTCATCATTTGATCTTTTGTTCCAATGATATACCAATTCTTGGTTTCTACTATATTATATATACAATTACATACATACATATTATTGGTTTCTACTATATCTGTTCCCATCATTTGATCTTTTGTTCTTACCCATTCTTGGCGATATACCAATGATAAAAATACCCCATCCACCAGTCTCCCTGATTCGCTTCGCCGCTTCGCCTCGACAGAGGCCAGAGAGCAAGGATGCCACCTGCAGTCTGGATTCGTATGTTTGCACACATATATGCACTATAATTATACATATATATATATATATTAATCTATATATATAGATTAATCTACTTATTACTTATATCTACTTATATCTACTTACAATATGTGTATATTCGTATTTTGTGGTTTACTCTTGGGAATCAATCCCACTGCTTACCGTCTCTTTGGGAGTGTTGTGTCATGTTGTGTCAGGAATGTGCATGTTGGGGAAGCTTGCCGTACGTGATCCGTAAAGTGAAAATTGGTCCAAGTATTTTACTGGTTGGTGGTTGACCTACCCCTCTGAAAAATATTAGTCAATGGGAAGGATTATCCCATATATTATGGAAAATAAAAAATGTTTGAAACCACCAACCAGTTTAGGTCGTGTGCAAACTCAAATGTGGCCTCATTTGTGCGTTTCCATTCTCCAAATTCATCGAAAAACCTGTCACCCTGATCACTAATCAACTCATCAGGAATGAGGACAGCTCATCTTGCCAAGCATGAACATATTGTCATTGAAATCACGATCGGACCCACCTCGTGCAGTCTGGTGGTGTCAATCGGCGGGTCTGCCGCATCCTGCATTCCAATGGCAGTCACAGAGTCACAAGAATTTTCCAGGGACATGTTACATGATGTTAGATGTGGAATGATGTGGATCAGTGTGTTCTTTGTTGGGCAAGCTTCGAAAAATGGCAACTCAAATTTACCCTCTGGTAATTTAACATAGCTATTGAAAATGACCATTTATAGTGAGTTTTCCCATTAAAAATTGTGATTTTCCATAGTTATGTTAGTTTACCAGAGGGTACCTCTTCTTTTTTTGTTAATGTTCCCAATGTTTCTTGAAACTCTCAACGTCGGTTTTCGTTGTTTCAACTCACAGAAGAACGGATAGCACTGCCACTGGAAACTACATAAAACATGTTTTATCTGGGAGAGCCAATCCTCGGAAGATTCATCACAAATGACGGACGTAATCCAGGATGGAAAAGGATGGATTAAAAAAAAAAGTAACGGCACTGGCACTACCCGAATCGAAAATCAAACATGGCAAAGCTGGGAAATCCCACCATTTACGCTGGGTTTTCAATGGGACAACATTATACATATTATATTACCCTCTGGTAAACTAACATAGCTATAGAAAATCACCATTTTTAATGGGAAAATCCACTGGTAATTACAGAATAATAATGCGGTATAATTGTTTTTCCATTGCCACATTTCATGACCAGAGGGTCTTTCAAGTTGTTCGGGGAAATGGATAACCTGTCTGCCTCCGACATCTCTCCCGAGATCGTCAATATCCCAGATCTCCGTTCGAAAATGATCATGGCCAAACTTATGATGCCCTTCAAAAATTATCATTTTCTTAGCTAGTCAATCAATATCAATTATACATAATGAATATATATATATATGTATATAATTATATATTATTATATTTTTATATATATATGGGGGTTGTCCAAAATCCTTTTTCCCGGACAGCCCTCAATCGCTGAGCCAATCGCGTAGCAACCGCGGTACCACAGTGAGCAATCGCGGAAGGGTTTGTTCTTCGTTGATCAGATCATATACAAAAAATATAAGTTATGTATTAAATAATGAATCCTAGTAGTAGTAGTAGTAGTAGTAGTAGTAGTAGTTGTTGTAGTAGTAGTAGTAGTAGTAGATTAGTAGTAGATTAGTAGTAGATTAGTAGTAGTAGATTAGTAGTAATAGATTAGTAGTAGTAGATTAGTAGATTAGTAGTAATTAGTAGTAATTAGTAGTAATTAGTAGGGATATGTATAATATAATATCTAAAACAAAAAATAAAAGACCACAAAGGAGAGGGGGGGAGCAAAAGAAAGGGAGAGAGAGCGAGGGAAAGAAACAGATACTCGCGCTTGGCCGGTTTCTGACAGGTTTCTGACTGGTTTCTGACTGATTTCTGACCCTTCCGTGGAACTTTTGTCAAGTGGAGAAAAGCAAAGGCAAAAATTCCTCGGTGTAGTAGCGGTAGCGGCGTTGCAGTGGTAGCGGCGCTAGCGGCAATACTGAGAGTAGTAGCAACACTAGTAGAAGGATCCGCCCATGAACGCATTCGTTTTCATATTTGAGAAGAAAAGAAAATTGCACGGTCCGGAAACGGTCCGGAAAACTCACAGTAATACCAGTAGTAGGAGTAGGAGCAGGAGCAGGAGTAGGAGTAGGAGTAGGAGTAAGAGTAGGAGTAGGAGTAGGAGTAGTAGTAGTAGTAGTAGTAGGAGTAGTAGTAGTAGGAGGAGGAGGAAGAGTATTAGTAGTAGGAGTAGTAGTAGTAGTAGTACTACTACTACTACTACTATCAGTACTAGTACTAGTACTAGTACTAGTACTAGTACTAGTACTAGTACTAGTAGTACTAGTAGTACTAGTAGTACTAGTAGTACTAGTAGTACTAGTAGTAGTAGTAGTAGTAGTAGTTGTAGTAGTAGTAGTGGTAGTGGTAGTGGTAGTGGTAGTAGTGGTAGTAGTGGTAGTAGTAGTAGTAGTAGTAGATTAGTATTAGTATTAGTATTAGTATTAGTAGTAGTAGTAGTAGCAGCAGTTGTAGTAGTAGTAGTAGTAGTCGTCGTCGTCGTCGTCGTAGCCGTATAACCAATCGCCAACCAATCGCTCAGCCTATCGCCATGCAGGTTTTGGCAATCGTGCAAAGCAGAGTAAACGCATCAATTCATATATTTGTTATCTGCTTTTACGGACGGCTCCCATATATATATATATATATGTAAATAGTGTGTGGTTCGTTGCGAAAGAGTACACAGTTATACACAGTGACAGTACTGAAGTGAGTACCGGTCATACGTTGGTTGACCGACGGCCCGTTGGTTTTCACCAGCCGCAGCCCGTACCTTCCCTGTCTCGTTGTACTCGTTTGCCTCGGTCCAAGAAATGGCAACAAAAAACTCGCAGCAACCTCCAGCATCATTTCTGGGAAATATGTCCGTGATCTCGGCTAATCCCATTCTTGCCACTCAACTGTCCATAGAAATCTTCCATATCTGTGAGAAACGACTTATATATATAGGATTATATTAAAGCATATTAAAGCAATAGGTTGCTTAATCTTTAAAAAAAAAGTAGATCAGTCAATGATATCAGCGCTGGAGCTCCGAGTCCGTGAGGTCGTGTGGGTGGCTCCTCATGTCATCCCATGGACTGAGACCATGGAAAGCCACTGTGCTCTGTGCGTCGCATCTCGTCGCATCCATTTCCATTTGAAAGGTCCATCTTCCAAACCGGTGTCCAGGCGACTTTGCCACAGCCCACTTGACCAGGAGAAGAGAACGCATAGAACGCGCAGAGAGTTTTTGTCCTTAAGATCTACTCCTGTCTTCACTCAATGAAACCACTTCTCAAATCAAGCACACACCCAGCTGGCTCGTCTCTTGTTCTGCTCCCAAAATTGAGCAGTTTGTTCCTATCTTGATCAGAGGTTTTTCCAAAAACAATATGATTCATTCTCGCTTCGACTTTTTCTGTTTTGCCTTCTCCAAAAATCGGTGCATGTCGACTTTACCTCTTGGATTGGCCCCTGGAAAAGAATGGTCGCCAAGCCCACGGTCGGTGTCATCACGAAAAACACATGCCACAGAGTCTTTGAGGTCTCCACTAGTCAGGGATTCCCTGCCTGGGACTTCCCTGGGAACGAGACCAAGCAATCTTTGGCATTGGGGTCAATTTTTCCAAAGTAGCCATTGCCTTCCTTCAGGAAGGGACAGCAGGACTCTGCCCGTTGGAAGTGAAGCGTGTTCATCTCGTTGGGAGATTCATGCGCTCGTGGATCAACTTCAGCCACTGAACCAAGGTCTTGAGCTAAGCCATCCCATGAAATACGAAGTGTATATTATGGTGAATAGCTATCCCGTTAATTAAATTATCTTTAATCATTGAATGGGTATCATATGGTATCATAATCCAACATAAATTGTCTAACCCCCGCTGTTTGCTAACCAATCAACAATCACATGCCTAATGGCTCAAGGCTCAAGTATATTTCCAAGTATGTATGGGTTTGTCTGCAAACAGGATACCCCAAAATTTCCTTGTTAATCACCATTTCCCTAGTAGAATGGCTGTACCTGGGGGTTAAATCCCCAATGTTCAGACAAACCCAAACTGTTGGCTATATAATGTCCACTGTAGTCGTTTTCAATTAGGCAATTTGTTTGGTTCCACTTAAATGAAAGAACAATCCACTTATTATTTGTGTGCAATTAGGCAGTTCATTCGGGAATACTAAAATGCCAAAAGAATCCACTTATGATCACTTATGTATTCGTTTCAATTAGGCAATTCATGCGGGAAAACTAATAATAACAGAAGAGTCCACTGCTGCATTCGTTTTCAATTCTGCATTTCATTCAGGAATACTCAAATGAAAACACAAATCCACTTATGTTTTCGTTTTCAGTTTGGCAATTTGTTCGGCGCGACTTTGGTCCGGAAAATTCCAGTGACCCCAGGTCATTGTTTGGCCTCAATATTATTTGGATGCCGCTAATATTCGCGAGGGTTATATATCAATAATTGATAGATATTTTAATAGTACATCAATATTAACCCCATGAAATGCAAATCCCATAGATGATTTTCCCATACTATATCATACTATTAAACATATTTAACCCATTCGTATTCCATTAGATATAGTCCAATCCCCATTTTTTTGGATGGTAAATCCCCATTCATATTGTCAGCCCCGGCCTCCCGCACCATACGTTCACAGGCCTACAGTGCGGCATTGCAGGGCCGGGCTTTGGCAGGGATAAACGAGCAACATGGATGGTTGTTCATCATGATCCTAGAGTTGAAAATTATTGATGAATAATGTGATGGCAAACATGGATTTCGGGATTCTGCCGTGACATGATGTTGGAACATTGACAAACAAGTGATGGGTGTTGGCTTTGTGTCAAGCAGTTTGAAACCCAGTAGAGATACTCAATTTGACTACTCATCCCATTCTTGGGAAATCGATTGATAGGAAAGGCAGATATTGGCTACCAAGAGAAAAACAAATGGTACTGCACCAAGGATTATAGATCAGAGTTCCAAATGGAGCCTTGACAAGAATCCCAAACAAGAATATGAAGAACATATTTGTTGAAGGGACCACATCTCTGTGTGAATTATATCAAATCAATGGATGTCACCTGTCACCAGATTGAAACCCTGTAAATGGATAAGTGATAGCTATAACACTCTGAGCTTAGGAATCGATTGGGAACTCAAGGGGGACAGAAGCTGCGCAGCACTAGAAACCATATCCCAGAAAGAAACTACCAATACTCAACTGGTTGGTGCTTTGAACCCCTCAGAAAAATATAAGTTCGTCAGTTGGGATGATGACATTCCCAACTGTTTCTGGAACAATAAAAGCCATGTTCCAAACCACCAACCACTCAAGAAACGTATCAAATTTCTGGATCCGAGTCAAATCTAAGAGGGATCAAAGCTACCGCTCTCAGCAAAAAAAACATGCCACAGTCGTCTGGGCTGGTCGTAGTTGAGAACACCACCCCATCCAGGGTGTTGGGTACAAAACACAGCTTGGTGTTGTCAACACTGAAGGTCGTTTTGCCTTTCACTTTCAGCATACCGAGCATACCTATGGCAGCTATATATCTATAGAATGTTATATCCAAAATCATTCAAAATCACTAGCCATGACTATAGATTCACGTATCAAATTTTGTATGTTTTTGATGGGTTGCTCAGAGACTTTAAGTTAGCTAAACATGCTGAACGGTCTCAATCTGGGGATGGGTCAAAACTGTCAACACCTATTATCATATGGGGACACTAAGCATCCATGAACCAGCTATTTTATATATTTTATTGGGGTAGAGTATGGTAGAGTATGGCCTATAATTTTTGACATTTTTTGACATTTTTTAGCCATATAAATTCACGTTTCACGCATAGAAACCGCACCCATTCCTTAAAGCTCTTCGCATGCAGCGCCTCCATGGCAGAGGCGGCTGCATGGGCACTGAAGAACTCAGGATCGAGGCGGCCCTCCTGGGAGATCGTGGGCACGACCGGTTGAGCCACTGTCCCCTGAAGAATACACCTCCAGATATTACCCTCTGGTAAACGTTTACATAGTTATGAAAAATCACCATGTTTAATGGGAAAATCCACTATAAATGGCCATTTTCAATACTTATTTTGACATAACCAGAGGGTATGCATTTGATTGGAAGTGCCAAATATATCCAAATATTGGTCCCAAGAGCCAGTGTTTACACGTGGGTTTTTCAGCTGGTGACGCTCACCTCTCTAAGAATACTGTAGTCATGTGGAAATAGGATGGAACATGGAAACACTATTGAAAAAACTTCAAACCACCAATCAATGGATTGGTTTAAGGGAAAATCTACAGGAAACCATGGTTTTTACCATCAAATATAGGGCTTTCCTGTAAAATTTCCCATCATCCAATTCTATGAACCAACCAAATGAGTGGTGTGTTTTCATATGACTATAATGGTCATGATTCTAATCGGTATTGCCAGGGCAATCATTATCACAATATCAAGTTGATGATGATGACGACGACGATAATGACGACGATGATCACTGGATGCAATCTATTGACATCTATATGTGTATCATGTATATATATACATATAATATCTATCTATCTATCTACCTATCTGTCTGTCTGTCTGCCTGCCTGCCTGTCTGTCTGTCTGGCTGTCTGTCTGTCTGTCTGGCTGTCTGTCTGTCTGTCTGTCTTATCTTAATTTATCTTATCTTATTTATCTTATCTTATCTTGTCTTATCTATCTTATCTATCTTATTATCTATCTTATCTATCTTATCTATATTCTCAATCTTGTCAATCTTATCAAACCTATCAATCTTATCAATCTTATCAATCTAATCAATCTAATCAATCTAATCAATCAATCAATCAATCGATCAATCAATCAATCAATTTATCTATCTATCTATCTATTGAATCTAAAGTATTTCAGGATGGGAATCAAGACAGCGTTGATAGATGAAAAGGCCCATAATCAATGACCAGAAGTGACAATACAAATTGTGTTACTGAACCATTTGGTCACCATCCACGGTTGACAAAGGTTGGGTGCCGGAAATATTGGCAACTCGGGTCTATTGACAGTTAAAAAAAAGGTTGCACCAGCCCACCATCAAGGATTCAGTAACATGCTGAGACTTCAACTGCAACATCTTGGGTTCCACCGTTTTCGAGATCTCAGCTCCGCTACAGAAGTTGAGTCAGTTTTGGCATCATCATCCCCAAAGTTAGAGAACATTAACATATAACATATGATCTATGGGTGTGTCTGAATATGGTGCCTGCCCCCAAATGGCCAGCAAAAAGATTTACTTTGAATATGATGTTCCAAACAATGGGAATTTGATGGATTTCAGTAGTTTTCCCATACTATTCAAAGAAACTATGCTCCTATAATTGTTATATAACCCAGATCTAAGAGTCAACCCGACACTAAACTATATTATATATATACACCCTTTTGTTTGCCTATTTATTTAAAAAAATGGTGTCTGTGTGAACATAAACACAATATCATACAACTTTCTTCAAATAATCTCAACAACTTTGAGCCTTTTTCTTCCATAAGTGGTAATAACCCTGGTGAGTAAGTTCCCTTTTTTCGTGGCTTATTCCATCAACAAATGGGTTATGTATATAAGTTATAACTATGGTGATTACCCTCTGGTAAACTAACATAGCTATTGAAAATGGCCCATTTATAGTTGATTTACCTATTAAAAATGGTGATTTCCCATAGCTATGTTAGTTTACCAGAGGGTAATATCAACGGATCAAACACCTATGGGATAAGTTAGCCCCTCTCCAGGGGATGATCCTCCAAACTGCCATCCCGGATCATGGAAGTTTAGGGCTCGACGAAGCGGTCCTCAAAGAGTGCCTTGAGCCCTGCAACCCGCAGCAAGGATGTGGCAGGTTCCGTCTCCAGGCGAGTTAGGAGTGCCTGGATGGCGATGGCGTCCAAAAAATGGGTTATAGATATGGAAAAAATGGTGCAATTATAGTGCAATTACTGGTTGGTGGTTGACCTACCCCTCTGAAAAATATTCGTCAATGGGAAGGATTAGCCCATATATTATGGAAAATCAAAGCCATGTTTGAAACCACCAGAATTAGCTATTCAAAAACAAAGGGATGCACCAAAAAAAGTGGTGGTTGTTTTTCCAGTGAGCTGTCGTGATGAAACACATGGCTATGGCAACACAATATAGATCCTCCTTACCATCCTCCCAGGATATCCCTGTGGCCGAAAGTGGCCCAAATGTCAGAGGGATCTGGAAATAAAAAGTGCCCTGCTGCTGATGCAAAGTCAAACACAGTTTCTGCGAAAGCTTTGAAAGCTTGAAACAAAAATCCAACATTCCTGTATTCATGTATGTATACGCATGCACATGCAAACCTGCAATCCACAAATCGCTGCGCCCTGGCTCCATGGTTGAATCCATTCCTGTTGCCAACGCCAAAATCCTGGGAACATGTAATAGCCAAAGTGCTGCAATGTAGATGCATGTTGGTACGACTACTGTATCAAAGGGACGCAATGGGACCACAAAAACTGCAATGTTCATCAAAAGATAGAATCGTTGCAAAAGCACATGTATACCTGCATCCATCTACATTTATATGTTTGCAAAGATAGATGTATTTACGTATATCTACATAGATATTGATACTTAGTTTGCGGGCATTGCCCACTGAAAGCAGCAAAAGTCAAGAACAAACTTGGATAGTCGCATATTCTTCTTGGATACTCATTTTCTGCCAGTCCTAGTAGGAATGGCACAAAAACTAGGTCCTAGCTGCACTTCAGTCTGAGAATATTGTACCCTCAAACTCTATGGTTCATCATTTCCCCATTACAATCGCAAATTTTGGGCATCCCGGCATCCCCATTGTCAGGCAAAACCCAAGTCATACCGCTGGTTAGTTACATCCCCCAAGTCATATGCTTGGCTCAGCCTTCATTAATGTTCCATCAATGCCCCGAAAACTATTTATGTATATATACTATGTATATATAATATGTAGCAACCCCAAAACAAAAAGTATTTCCAGGAGAGTTCGATTATGTTTTCCCACAAAAAGGAACGGTTTTGAATACCCTCTGGTGAACTAACATAGCAAATGGAAAATCACCATTCTTAATGGGAAAATCCACTATAAATAGCCATTTTCCATTGCTATGTTAGTTCACCAGAGGGTATCAACTGTAAAAACATATGGAAAAATACACTGTGCCTGCACTCCTGACAGCTGGGCATGCACTGCAGCAGCATCCTCGCGAACACTTGGGTCGAGGTGATGGAATGGTGATGGGGATATAATGAGAATACCCTCTGGTAAACATACAAAAAACTATAGAAAATCACCATTTTTCATGGGTAAATCAACTATTTCTATGGCAATTTTCAATAGTTATGTTAGTTTACCAGAGGGTAATGAGAATAATGAGAATCATGAGAATCATGAGAATCGGAATCTCCTTACAAGCCTCTCGCCTCTAGCAATCGTTTACATACTTATGGAAAACCACATGATGGTTTAAAATATGGAAATCATCTAACATCATCTAACAAACGGGCCAGTTTCCATAGCTATGTGACCATCGATGATGGGTTATAAATCGTGGGTAACGGGGTAAACATACTGTATGTTTTTATATTACGAGTTAAATACATCATGGATGATAATTATAATGGCGTTTGTGATTACAGTGGGCATCGATGGGGATACGAAAAAAAGGTGTTGAGAATGGCTAATGAGGCTAATGCACTTGGCCCCCTCTGAATTATTGGGATTTCTTTCAAGGGCATGTAATGGGGGCAACTGTTTCTTTTACACCATCCATACGTATTGTATGTTGGTGCTAGTTGCAACATTCATGGAAATATAAAGGTGCATGCTGTGAACTAGTTGGTTCTGAATTGCAGAATCTGCAAAGTAGGTAATCTTTTCACACATGTTCGAACCCCATATTCAGTGCAACAAATTCTGCGAGAATCTTGGAATACTACTATTGGACATGTAGGCTAGAAGGACATCATTTCCACTGTAAAAAAAATGGAATGAAAACATTTCAAAAAACTCAGGAAATGGCAGCATAACACCAACACACAAGCAAATGTGGGTCAAATGTCCATACGCATCAGTAGATTGTCTTTTGATGTCAGTTCCATATCCTTTTTGGGAACCCAACAGTTTGACCAATTGGCCCAGTTGGGACTATCCAGTTTGTTCATTGCTTCCATGATTCTCAGTCATTCTCCAGGGTTTTGCCAAATGATCTATAATTGTCAGTGATATATGCGATTGGAAAGGTTCAGATGAACAGTGCAAAACCCTGGTGTCATTCCTGTACGCTGATTGACTGCTAGGGATTTTGACAATCAGACCTGGCAATGAACCATCTCAGATTCATGGACATATCATTTTCATTCATTTTCCATGACTATGTTGGATTTCCAAAGGGTAATCACTATCACACCAAGCCTGTTCAATGGGTTGTCCATGGTTGTCCTATGTTTTCCATCCCTATTTGCTTCGCCAAGACCATGTCCTCTAACATCTCGGTCGAATCCTCATAGTGTGAGAAGACGCAAAACACCTGCCCGATCTGCCCGAATTTGAGGCAAGACACAGGAGTAGCAACCAAGAAATCACACGATGATTCATTATAGTCTGTCTCAAACGATTTTTTTTTGCAATGAAACGTAGAAAAATAGTACGAAAAAATGTAAAAATATGTAAAAATAGTCAAATTTGTTACTTTAGAGTGGACATGAGTGGACATTATTTACATTGTAGCCGTTTGGTTTTTTTGGGACTGGGATCAATCCCGCTTAAAAGGCCAGACCATTGGCCGGACCAGGCCGGACCTGCTTTGAACCATTTAGGGCTGGAGGAGATATTTCGAAGACATTGAATACTTCGAGTATACGTCATACATGTTGATACCTTTAAATATTGTGTATATATATATATACACCAGGAGCTTCAAAGACCCAAAAAATTGTAGGACCAGTGAAAAAAAATATTTTTTTCGAGAAAAACCGGGTTTTTGTAAAGAATCCATGTTTTGGTTTTTGTTGGATTTGCACAAATTTGTCCAAATCGGGTGGACCTGTATCAAATTTCTCCTCATTACATGTAGCAATTTCATACTGACAACTTGTGAAATCTGTCAGACAGAACGCGCGATCGAAACCGAAGCAAGCGTTATCAGACACGATGCGCGCATTCTCCACCAGCCGCAGTTGCCTCCTATGCTGCGAACTTTCCCTTCAGCGGGACTGGAGGTAGTCAAAAAGTCACAATGGATATGCATGGCATTTCAAAAGTCAGCTTTTTCAGATATGAACCCAGTAAATTGACAATAGCTCCGGTAATCTGTGTTGTTTTCTTTTTGTCTGGATCAGGCAATTACTGGTTCGATCTTGTAAAACCACAAGCGGAGCCTTAAAACTCGACGTCGCGCCGTCAATTCGCAGAGGCAAAAAAAACATATTTTGAGTATGGGTTAGTATGGGTTAAATATGGGTTAAATATGGTTTAAATATGGGTTCCAAAAAAACGTTTTTTTTACTATATCAGAATATGGGTTTAGTACGGGTTAAATATGGGTTTAGTACGGCTTAGTACGGCTTAAATATGGGTTTTTGGCATTTTTTGGGTACAGACCCTAAAATGTTCATCCGAAACGATTAAAAAACTGAAAATTCCGATTGATTTTTCATGATTTTGTTAATTTTGTTCGATACTTTTGTTCGACTGTTTGTTGGACTTTGGCAATCCAGAATCATTTTTTCCAAATGAAAAAAATCCAGCCATGTGTCAATTTATGCTTCTAGGGGTGGTTCTTGCGAAAACATCATCCAACGACTCCAGATTGACTGTGATCACACTTAATGTTGTCCGACATTTTCCAAGAGCATCGGGCCCTTTCTTGTGAGAACTGCCAGCCAAAGCCAGCAGGGTGGAAGCATAATCAACGTGAAGGGTACTGAGAGGGACAGATCCAAGGCTGGTATCAATAAAGGGGTTTGAATCGTCTAAGGGAACGAATCATGAGATGTCATGACACCAAGTGTGAGAAAGAGTAAGTGTTTTCCCTAGTAAAGAAAAAAACATGTTTTCTGAGAAAAACCGGGTTTTTTTCATAACTGAAGAAAAAACCAGGTTTTTGAAAAAAGACCTACAAAATTTGTGGGTTCTTGATGCGCTAGGTATATTAAATTATATATATGTGTATGTATATCACACCACCAAAACTATCAACATCAAACTAAAAACAAAAAATACTTTCCAAAACAGTGTGTCTGTGGAGTCTGGTCAAAACACTCCCATCATACAAGTCGATTACAAAATGATCCCTCCAAACACCACATACTGCAACCCGAAATCCAAACATCAAACAACCCGTTAAGATGGCCATGACTCCCCAAGCACCTGCTCAACGCAATCGACGGCGCCCTCATGTCGAAGGCTTTCCACAATTGCCTGAAGATATCTAAGTAATTCTGGGTGAAGGGTTTGATATGTTTGATCATGTTTGATCCACAATGGCCTGCACCAATTTGCAAATTTGGATTGCACTCTCGAATTTCCAACTGAATATGTAATTAAATGTGGCTTGGTTATTTTCCATAATGCAGTATTTGGAATTGTGTACTGGACAGAATAACCACACCGGATGGAACGTCATTGAGTCGCCAAAACACAATTAAAACCCCGAAACAATTAGGATCAATGTGGAACGTAAAAACAAAAAATGTTTCGAAATATTTCAAAATTATATATATCGTTTGCCACCCAACATGCATGTTTCAAACACGCCTTGCCGAGAGGTCCCGGCGGCATCCGCCTATTGACAGGTGGATGTTTGCATCCAATTTCATTTTCAGTTGACATGAACATGTTTCCTACTGCATATTTCCAACAATGTACTCATGGATATTGAAAATCAACAAAGGTCCAGTCCATCCACGCATGGACATTGTTTTGTACACGTTTGGAAAATCTGAAACGACATGGTTGAAATTGCCAATGTTGTGAAACTAAAAATGCGTGCTTGCGAAATATGAAAAACACAAATGTTTCATGCCCAATCCAGCGAACCACTGACACCACAGAAACCCTAAATCGTGAACAAATTGTTGCTTGTCAATGCCGAATTTGAATAAAAACATAAAAACAATGCGCATCGCAAATGCTAAGAATTACTTTACTTCGAGTGATCCCCACCATGGCATTTCAGGCATATCTTCTGACATAGAGTCTGCTACTCATCACGCATGCTCACTAGCCCGCACGAGAAACAGATACGCTAAAATTTTACAGCAAAGCAAGAAGGCATAATAAGTGGTTGGCCTCCCTTTGCCCTTGCCCGCGGCCACTTCGGGAGCGGTGCAGATAGGTCCGACACGCACAGCTTTGGTCAAGGGATGTCCGGCAAGACGAAACACCATTCCAGGAAAAGCGGGACAGCTAAACTCGTCCCGCCGTGACGGCCAGAATAGTTGCAAGAATTATTTTTATTGCCCACGCATCCTTATCTGATCACCATGGGGGTGATGAACAGACCTATCTGACAGTCTATCTTACGTACATTCTGACATTCCACCGGCGCGCCTGCACAATTCACAGAAAGCACGCAAAGCTGCTGCCGATCCGCCCATGACGTCCATCCTGCGGTTGCCACTCATGGGTCACTCACGCCATGCAGTGCAGACAAAGCATTTTACTTGACTTCTGCTCCGGCCAACTGCGGCGCAAAAACATGTACAAAAATCCAATCAATTTACCCAAACATTGCTTGGGTGGATCAGCTGCCAAGTTCCAAGTTGACCAAGCTATTTGACATGGTTCAGTATGCAGCCACCATGCACATGCCTTGTGGGGTAGGCTGCCAACAACGGCAAAAAACTTCAAATTCCAATTACTGGTTCGGTCGGCTGAAATTACGTTGCCCCACATGTCTATACCTCCTGAGTGTGTGGCGTCAACCACAACAGCGCGTGTTGCCACGGATTCAACCAAAAAGGTCCCTCCTTCGAGGATATCGGCGCGAGCCGTTCAATACCTGAGCTGTTGGCACGGGCATGTGGCTGCATGGTATGCTTCAAGCCCTAGCACGGTGAGCCCGTAGTTGCTCGCGAGGCCCTCGAGGAGCACCGAACAATTCAAATGCGCGAAAGGCACATGCCGAATTATAGTGCCATCACTTCACTCTTTCCGCGGTCAGATTGTGCAAAGGTACAAAAAGAAATGGGCTTGGCGCAAGTGTGTTGATGTGGGGGTCAACCCTGCTCCTCGATAACGTAGTCGCTGTCCTTGCTTTTGTTCTTGTTTTTTCGTGGTTGTGCTGGTGGTTTGTAATGTTGGTTTGCTCCTTTGATTGGCTGACCGCATTGTTTGATTGCTGACTTGTTTGATTATTTGACGGTTTGTTTGATGACTTGTTTCTTTGATTATTTGCCCGTTTGTTTCAGTGTTTGATTGTTGGAACTTTTGACCGAATGATTGTTTGTGTGATCGATCGGTTGATTTTGGTTGTTTTTTGGTTGGTCGTTGGTCGATGGTCGTTGGTCGTTCGTCGTTGGTGGTTGGTGGTGGGTGGTGGTGTGTTTTTGTTTTTGTGTTTTTTGTTGTTGTTGTTGTGGTGGTTGTGCTTGTGCTTGTGCTTGTGCTTGTGCTTGTGCTTGTGCTTGTGCTTGTGCTTGTGCTTGTGCTTGTGGTTGTGGTGGTGGTGGTGGTGGTCGTGGTCGTGGTCGTGGTCGTGGTCGTCGTGGTCGTGGTGGTCGTGGTCGTGGTCGTGGTCGTGGTGTGGTCGTGGTCGTGGTGGTCGTGGTCGTGGTCGTCGGTCGGTCGTCGCGTGGGCGTGGGCGTGGGCGTGGTCGTGGTCGGGTGTGTTGGTCGTGGTCGTGTCGTGGTCGTCGTGGTCGTCGTGGTCGTGGTCGTCGTCGTGGTCGTTCGTCGTGGTCGTGGTCGTGGTGGTCGTGGTCGTCGTGGTCGTCGTCGTCGTGGTCGTAGTCGTAGTCGTGGTCGTGGTCGTGGTCGTGGTCGTGGTCGTCGACGTCGTTGTCGCGGCGTCGGCGTCGTCGGCGTCGTCGGCGTCGGCGTCGTCGGCGTCGTCGGCGTCGTCGGCGTCGTCGGCGTCGTCGTCGTCGTCGTCGTTCTTGCTCTTGTTCTTGTTGATGTTGATGTTGTTCTTGTTCTTGTTCTTGTTGTTCTTTGTTGGTTGTTGGTTGTTGGTAGTTTGTTGTTGTTGTTGCTGTTGCTGTTGCTGTTGCTGATGTGTTTGCGGTTGCTGTTGTTGTGGTTATGGGTGTCGTTGTGGTTGTTGTGGTTGTTGTGGTTGTTGTGGTTGTTGTGGTTGTTGTGGTTGTTGTGGCTGTTGTGGTTGTTGTTGTGTTTGCTTTTGTTGTTGCTTTTGTTGTTGCTTTTGTTGTTGCTTTTTGTTGTCGCTTTTGCTGTTGCTTTTGTTGTTGTTTATGCTCTTGTATTCGTTGTTGTTTGTGTTGTTGTTTTTGTTGTTGCTTTTGTTGTTGCTGTTGCTGCTGTTTTGGCTGTTTTGGCTGCTGTTGTTGCTGTTGTTGCTGTTGTTGCTGTTGTTGCTGTGGCTGTTGCTGCTATTACTGCTATTGCTGCTGTGGTTCGGTTGTTGCTGCTGCTGTTGTTATTGTTGTTGTGGTTGTCGTCGTTGCCGTCGTTGTCGCCGTTGTCGTCGCTTTTGTTCTTGTTCCTGCCCTTGTCCTTGTTTTAGTTCTCGTTGTTCTTGCTGTTCCTTTCGGTACGCTGGTCGCGCGCACAATGTTCTGCTACTACGGCGTCCGCATTGGAATTGATGCTCCGTATCTGCATTTGTCCACTGGCAGCAATGCTTTGTAACTCCGGGCAGCAGGGGGGGCCAACACTGTTTGTGTCTGCGCGCGCATGCTTAAAATGCCTCCGGGATCTTCGTGGGCTGCTCAACAATTAGACATGTTCATACCTCGCCCTTGTTTCGACAAAGGTTCTGAACTACCTGCTCACGAAACGAATGTTCTTCTTAACAGAGAATTTCTCAACTACTTGCGACGCAACTTAACTATGTTAGTCTTATGTTAAATAAGCGCAAAGGTTCTCAACTATCTGCACGCGCTACTTATCTTATGTTGCGTTCCCAACCTGTTCAAGGCGCTGTAGCCCTGGGAGTGCCTGCGGCGGGTCAACCACATCCCTTTGTGATGATGTGATGATGTGATGCTGATGGTGGGGATGTTGATAACGCAAACGATTCTAAAGCTGATGATGCGGATGCTGCTGATGATGGTGGTGAAGAAGATGGCGGTGATGATGAGGCTGGGGAGGATGGTGATGGTGTTGATGATGGTGGTGATGATGATGGCGGTGGTGACAAGGGTGATGATGATGATGATGATGATGATGATGATGATGATGATGGTGGTGGTGGTGATGATGATGGCGGTGGTGACAAGGGTGATGGTGATGATGATGATGATGATGATTTTGATGGTGATTTTGATGGTGATTTTGATGATGATTTTGATGATGATGATGATTTTGATGGTGATTTTGATGATGATGATGATGATGATGATGATGATGATGATGATGATGATGATGATGATGGTGATGATGATGATGATGATGAGTTTGATGGCGATTTTGAAGATGATTTTGATGATGATGATGATGATGATGATGGCGATGATGATGATGATGATGATGATGATGATTTTGATGGTGATTTTGATGATGATTTTGATGATGATTTTGATGATGATTTTGATGATGATGATGATGATGATGACGATGACGATGGTGATGATCATCATGATCATGATCATGATAGTGCTGTGTGATTGCTTTGCTGCTGCTTTGTGATTGATTCGCTGTTTGTTGATCATTTTGTTGCTGCTTTCTGATTGGTTTGTTGTTGTTGCTTTATGGTTGGATTGTTGTTGGTTTGTGCTTGGTCTGTTCGCCTGCTAGTGCGTTAGACTTTTGGTTTCTGGGCTGTTGATTTCCTGATTTTGTCGGTTTGTTGTCGTTGCTGCGGTGTTGCTTTTGCGGTGTCGGGTTGTTGCTCTGCTGTTGCTCTTGTGGTGACTTGTTGCCCTGTTCTGTCGCTCTGTTGTTGTCGCTGTTGGTGTTGCATTACTTTTTTCTGTCTGTCTGTCTGTCGGTCGGTCCGTCGGTCCGTTGGTCGGTCCGTCAGTCCGTCGTCGTCGTCGTCGTCGTTGTTGTTGTTGTTGTTCCTGTTGCTGCTCTTTTGTTGTGGCTCTCCTGTTGAATTTTTTTGAATCTGCTGTTTTTGGTCTGTTGTTGTTCGTTTCTTGTTGCTTGTTTGTTGGAGCTGGTCTGTTGTCGGTTTGTGGTGGTTTGTTTGTTCTTACTGGTTCGTTGTTGGTTTGTTGTTCTTGGTGTGCTTTGCATGCGAAGATCGAAACTGAACCAATATTGTTCCTGCACAAGCAAGATCCTGTACCATCTATACAGGGCTGGTCTGGAACGGTAGAATTCCCGCATGAATCCGCATTTTGTCACTCAGTGCTGGATGCAGAAGTCTGGATCCACCCCTGCCCCCATTTCCTTGTTAATTCATCATGATATTTGTCAAACTCTGATGGAACATGGCAATTATAACAGTTTTCTCGCCTGAAATTGCATTTCCACACACTGAGAGAGAACTCTGATGTATCTGTATATCTGCACATGATTCTACATGTATATATACATGCGCTAAAACATTGATGATTCACACTGACATAACATGACATAGCGTAACATAACATAACATATATGCAATCATCTTCAAACAGATTTGTCTAGGTCCTTGGATCACATTCGACAAGAACCTTGTGAGCCGAGTTGACTCAACTCCAAGCAGCAACCATAGGGTCTTTGACTGAACGGGGGATTCAAACCCAGGATTTACTCCTGGGTTGTTTGACTAGGGGTTCTCATTCTAATGGCACTTGAATCACCTGATCACTTTTGGTTTTCTGCACCAACAAGTTAGCCATGGCTACAAATTTCTTCAGCGACAGAAAACATGTGAATTCCTGAGTTGATGCAAAAAGTAATCCCTGAAGATGCAACCCATTTTCGATCATGATGCTAGCCTCAAAACAGTTGAACCTACCATTCAAGACTTGATACTTAATCATGTTTGCCGATTCAATGTGACCACATGGGAGTTGCCCAAAACTGAATAACTTGGATGGTGTTTGGGGTGCCCCAACTTTTAAGAAGTCCTCATATCATGAACTATGACATTCTAAGTGTGAATATGTGTATAAATATATATACTATATATATTATACACACAAAAACTTTGGTTGGATATATCTACAATGTACACAGAAATAAAAATAGATATGCATGTGTAAATGTATTTAGGTAAATATGCGTGTGTGTAACTGCATGTGGGCGTTCTGTTATGTACATGTATATAAAAAAAGGAACATGTTTAATGTAAAAGTTACTGTAAGATATTTTGAAATATATGATAATATTCGCGTCATATAGGGGTAAAGTAATATATTATATAGATATTTATTCATTTGTGTGTGTGTCATAATGATGTGTAAATGACCTATGTCCGTATCATATTGATGAATACATGTAACTGTAGTAAAACAATATTAGGTAGTGGTATGTAAATATTTATATTGTGTGTATATGGTATTTATTTGCATGCGTATATATTTTAAATACTGATAGTGTAGGTATATGGTAATTTAAACATATATGTGTACGTACGGAAAATGGTATTGTGTAATACAAAATTGTAAATAAATACTTGTTCACTATATACTATGCATAGACGACTTAAACGTGTACGGCTTCCCGTATGTGGTGTGTATGTATATGTATTTCTATGTGTGTGTGCTGTAAAGCAAAATGTGGTGTAAACACATTCATATGTATGTATGCAAGATCAGGAATGGTCTGATAACAAATGATATGTTGTGAAATGAAATAAAATGAAATGATATAAAATGATATAAATGAAATGATATTATGTAGGTATGTAGGTATGTAGGTAGGTAGGTATGTATGTATGTATGTATGAATGTATGTATGCATGTATGTAAATTAAAAAAAAAAAAACGTCTAATCGTACACATACGAATGTAATGACTAAAATGGGCATCAAAAACTAACAGCCAACAACAAAAATACTCAATGGTACAGCAAGAACAAAGACACCATAATTTTCAATAAAAGTATTTATTTGTGTGTCAAGATACCAGGCGAATTGATTACACAATATTATACCATATTATACCTATCTTAGCTAAGCAAACCCAAATTTCGTGCATTCATCGTGAATCAGCCGAGCCACTGCGGCGATGGCACCAGGAGCCATCGCGTTCAACGAGACCTTGGCATCTTGGCGCCCATATCATGCGGCCTTTTCGACGGCATCTACAATAACAGGATGGAGTGTTTTGCCAAGGGGTGAATGTTAGTAAAGCAATAGGATCCATCATCTCCAACTTTACCGTTTTTCTGGGTGGTGCACACCATCAAGTTATAATGAATATTTGGATGGTTTATTGTTGCTTTACGAACATGAAAAAGTAGATGAGGGTTAATTACGGGCATTTTACACCAAAAGAAACATTTTTACATGATATTCCATCCGATGAGAATCAGAATAATTAAGCCAGATGGGGATGACGCCAAAGAAAATGTGTTTATTGCGCCTAATGAACGTTGATACAGCCGCTAATACGGTTCATGGCGACGTGGAAAGGTCAACTAGCTATTTTGACTCGGAGATTGGTGGCACCAATATTGATTTTGTGGGCTTGTCTCAAAATAGGATACCCCAGAAAATACACTGCATGGTTTTGGAAATCAGTGTCCCATGTCTGAATGGCAAAGTTGGAGTCCTTGAACATGTCCCATTGGCGAGGCCATCTTGCAAGCTCAAATAGCTAGTGACACTGGGGTCATCAAGCTAGAGATCTCCAGACATGGGAAATCAGGGTGGATTTAGTAGACTGGTGTATTGTCAATCAAAAGAAGTTTGGCTAGGACACTTCCGAGTTGCGGACGATCAGGTCAACCACATCATCATGTCAACCACCCATCATCAAGTAGTTGGGACATGTAACAGTTCGGAAGCATGTGAGTTCGCGGGTGAAAACACTCTCGGGAACGAAACCCACTGTTTCTTTCGGGTGTAATTTATGTGTCTCCTAGTGTCACCAAAGCCATAGGGTATCTGTTTCTGCGGGTAGGAGGCTCCATCTGGGAAAGATGTCGACAAAGAGTGCACAGGACTGTGACAAGAGCTCGATTTGCATTACAAGATGGTAAAAGACTGTGGTGTGCGGAGCATTTTTGGAATGTCAAAATGTGCCCGAGGCAGTAGCAAGAGCTCGATTTCACAAAAAAAAAACGTAAACTGGGGGCGGCGGAGCAGGCTTAAAAAGAAACTTGGTGCGAAACAGCTGCCCGAAACTTGGTTGATTTGGTGCGAAGCTCCTGCTACGCAGGTTTGCATGCAACCGGTTTCTGCGGGGCTCCTGGGAAGAGGGATTGCAGCTGGAGCTTGCTAAACATACTGCAACAGCAGTGCAAAGAGAAGAATTGGGTGGCAGAAGCTACAGAAGAGCTAGTTGGGGGACAGCAGGGACGAAGTAGCCCAGATCAAAGGCTGCTCAGAGCAGAAGTAGCTGAGAGAAGAGGTGCCTCAGCGAAAAGGTCGCTCACTCATCCATCTATCCATCCATGCGCTCATCATCCATCCATTCAGTTGTTCATTCACTGGTTCATTGATTCATAGACTCACTAATTCACTCATTCATTGATTCATTGATTCATTCGTTGGTTCATTTGGTCAGTTGTCCATGGATTCTTTCATATCATTACGTCCCCATTGCAACCGCCATTTGTTAATTCGTTGATGCACCTCGCAATTTCAACAACTCATTGCTTCTGCATCGCAAAAACTTTCCTATAGACCATTGATTTCTTATGGTCATTCCATTTTTTCGAAACTTCCGCCCTGGCACAGGCCGGGCACTACCTGGTATTTAGATACATGGTATGTGTATATACATATATATATATGTGTGTATTGTGTTTAGTGTGTGTGTGTATATTTTATTATATATATATATTATATGTATGTTTGCTTGGTGATGCTCTCGCAAGTCTATTGCAACCACTGTGAAGGTACTGTTGCTTTCACGGTTGTGCACTCTGAGAAGTGCACATGCACACTTCAAATCCAGCCGAGTGAGTCATGCGCGCCGAATCACCCCAAAAACTGTCAGAACTTCATATTTGCCACACATGAGGAAATGAGTTGGTGACAATCTACATCCAAGTTCATCAACCACAATCTCATCGTCATTTTTCATCCACATCATCCACCCATTCTCTGAAAGCCCCGTGAAGGCGGCTTTCAAAGCGTTCGACCGCGCTTCGCCACGTAGGGCATCCCTTGGTGCTCCGCACGGGCGGTACGTAGGGCACCAGCAAACTCACGCATGACGCGCCTCGTCCTTGGACCTGATACACCGTGACGCCGTGTCCAGGTGATCCCAGGAAACATCCCCATTGGATGCTCCTGAACTGCTTGGTGGTTGACCTACCCCTCTGAAAAATATGAGTCAATGGGAAGGATTATCCCATATATTATGGAAAAATAGATCATGTTCCAAACCACCAACTAGTGAATATTAGTGTCTTTGTCATTCTTCATCACCTACTAGTCCATGGTTTCTCGGGAAGGTGTCAATATTTCCGGGGATTGGATCAAACAAAAGCAATGCCACACTTCTGCAGGGTACATATCAAGAGCCTGGGAATACTCAAAAAGTCTAGCGAGCAAACAACTCAGGGTGATCAATCCACCTCTCTTTATCTGCCTGGATTCTTTTCATCTAGGTTTCAAATGGGCACCAAAAGCCCTGATTCCCCACCTGCCAGGTGAGGGTTGTTAGATTTTATCACAGTTGTTCTCCTCCTCCTCGGCTAGCTATCCTCCTGCTCCTCCTGCTCCTCCTGCTCCTCCTGCTCCTCCTGCTCCTCCTGCTCCTCCTGCTCCTCCTGCTCCTCCTGCTCCTCCTCCGCCAGCATCTCCTCCACCACCTCTGCCTTCACTTCCACGTCCACTGTTTGTTGCCTTGCCAACTCTTCGCCAAGCTCTTCGCCAACGTCCGAGCTCAGTGTGCACCGCTGGAAACCTGGGACCTTCCCAGCTAAGTGGGCACCGCTGGACCTCAACCTGGGACCTTCCCAGCTCAGTGTGCACCGCTGGACCTCAACGGCCAGATAGAATGCCAGAAGATGTGCCAGATAGAATGTCAGAAGGTATGCCAAATAGAATGTCTGATAGAATGCCAGAAGGTATGCCAGATAAAGTGCCAGAATGTTTGCCAGATAGAATGCCAAACAATTTGCCAGATAGAATGCCAGAAGATATGTCAGATAGAATGCCAGAAGGTTTGCCAGTAACAAAACGTATAAATGTCATGGTGGGGATGACTCGAAGTATTTTTTTTCAGATATTTCGCTGAAGGGTTTTCAGCACCTGAATGTTCCCATTGTAACATAATCGCCAATGGATGCACCCTCCAGCAATCATGCAGGTGAAAATCACCGAGTTCTAGATGAATTCCGTATTAAAATAGATTGAAACGGTATGAAACGGTGCTTTTCCAGGCTTTTCCATTTCCAAGTCAGATTATCAGGTACAGTAATCAGCTTGGTTTCTGAAAAAATACCCCAAACTCTTCTGAGTTCATCATGATTTGCGCATCTTCGCCCTCAAACTTGCCATACCTTTGCCACCATCCCCGCCCACCCGGCCTCCGGTGCAGACGGATGGGTCTTCATTGCTTCGATGACCAGCGCCAGCAGCGCAGGCATCTCGGCCTGGAGTTGTAGAGAATCCATGGATATATCATGATGTACAATAAAAATCAATAAAATCATGTGGATTTGATCGAAACATCCAAAAAATCAGTGCCATTGCATCATTGTCTTAACATCAATGATAGAGATTTCAAGCGTCAAACATGAATTCAGCTTGAGATGAACTCAAAAATCATTGATCTGGCTGCGTTCTGTCGCTCAGCAAGCTGAAATGTTGGCCGAGTCACTTGCGGCTGTTAGATCTCTGGTGTAGGTAAAAACCCATGATAACATCACCGACCTACGTCGCCTATGCCATGGGCCCCATGGGCCCCATATGGGGCCCATGGCCTATAGAGATAAGTCGGTACGAAAAGCCTCCCTAAGATGCCCAAGTCCCAGCCAACCTCAAATATTGCTAGCTACAATCCCCTGAATGTCTGGTGATAACGGGAAAGGGCTCATCATCGCAGATTACGTGTTGGCAGAACTAGCCTGGCTATTTGAGGAAGATTCAGGAGTTGCTGTTGCCATCCCAACTAACAGTTTGACCCTGAGAATCACGACTTTTTGGAGGAATGTAGTCTTCCAACCCCCACATGGCAGGGTCTAGGTATGTCTAGGCTAATTTGGGGGATGGTAATTGTAGTAGAATCTGCTGGGGCCAAAGTCTATAATGTAGTCACAAGGATTCACAAGGGCCCAGAGACACAAGCCATCCCAGCCAGAGGGTTACCAGTTAACACCAAACAGGGTCATCAATAGCCAAGGTCCCTCCACTAAACAGAAACCCTTCAACAAGTCATGGCTAGGTCTACAATCTCAGACGCGAAGATTCCCAACACAACGGTTTAAAACCTTGTCAGCAGAACCAACCAATCCATCTGTTGGCCTTTGACTCATTTCAATCTGTTCCTCAGAGAGAGTTCCAGCCAAAAAATGCCCAAATCTCTGCTGAAAAACTCCTGACCTGCCTCACCCCTGTCGGCGCCCGCAAGGGTATATTCACCTGTCGTACCGCTGCACTGGGGTTTGTTAGATATCCTCAATGCTAATGTCTAACCATTAACACGACACCGGAAACAAGAAGATCTAGCCTTGCTGGTGTAGATCCGACAGAGGTTTACACATGATATATCATGATATATTATTCCGTCCTGGTTCTAGCTATGCAACACCTTCCACGGGGTGTCTATCAGCTTGCACTGGGGCTTGGTCTTACTTCTCATCCGTGCCTGACCTTTGGGCAATCAACACTATCCAGCAACAGAATTCCTCTTCTGGAAATCTGTTGCACTGGTTTCTTGATGTAATTCTGGGGATTCCATCACAATATCCCTGTACGCCACAAGTGAAAACTAATTTTGGATATAATTCTAAAAGTAATGAGTGCCTTCTAATTTTGATATCCATCATACCTCACATGTGACATGTCTCCTAGAAAGAGTCAGGCTTGGGACCGTTTTCCAATATTTGGAGAGGCTGTGGGATGGACAAATCACCCTGAGCCCGATGCAATGACTTCGGAAAGTATCCCTTCCAAACGAAAAAGGGGGTGGTTGTGGAGCAAACCCTCAGAAATGCATTAATAACTTTTGAACAATGATGCAGGTAGTCAATCAATGCCAAGTCTTCCAACTGGTGAGTTCGACAAATGAACCAATGATTTCTTGTATGCGGAGCTGGGCCACCAATCCTCAACAATATGATCGTCAATGAATAAGTAACTTGGGACATGACAAATTTGTATGTATGTGCATATACTAGATTATATACTATATAGTATATATTATATATATTAGATATAGATAGTTACATAATATGTCTGGCTTCCCGAATACGTTTCAGCAGCGTCTTGGGACATGGCACCATCTATGTCCTCATCCAGGATATCGATGATGGTGCAGAGTGCAGCATCCACCTGCTGCTGGATCAGGTGGCCCATGATTGCCATGTCCGGAAAGAACATCTGGTGTCCTTTAAAAGGGAATACTTTACAACTCGATATATCTGGTTGGTGGTTTTAACCATCTTGAAGAATATGAGTTCGTCAATGGGAAGGATGACATCCCATATAGTATGGAAAATAAAAAATGTTTGAAACCACCAACCAGATATATATACATATACGTAATATGTATACACCATAGAAAAACACTCTATTTTATATGCAATGAAATATGTATATATGTATATATATATATGCATATAGAGAGAGATGATGCATGTTGTGAAGGCTATCCAACTGACTGAGGCAGTACAATTTATAAATATATAATATATACAAAAGTACGTGGATTAATTACATGTAAGGCTATATATATATATATACATTCACAAAAAATGCACAACAAATATATATATATATATATACACATTATATTCAGTATAGTGCAGTATTTATATATCATATAACTTCACAGTTATTGTATATTCGTACGTGGCGTTGAAGCCATAGGTCCCGCACCGCAGCGACGATGCCAATGTTCAGCTTCAGCTCTGAAGCCTCAGAAAGCCAGCGGTTTTTTTTTGAAAATCCCATGGAACATGGAGGTTTCTGATGGTTTCTGGAGAAAAAATAATGGGACGATAGGCACAAAATGACGATTCTTCATGGGTTAACGGTTTTAACCAAGACAAATATGGTGATTTTCAGGGGATTTCATGGAACTTTTCTTGTAACTAGCATGGCTGGGAGATCACCCATGAATGCAGGCTTCAAACGCTTGTTGAAAATCCCCGAAATCCAATGGGGACATGTTTCAGCCCACGTTTGATTACCATGCAGCATGTTCAACTTGCAAAGATAGTTCATTTTTTCAATTGTAAGGGGGGTTCATTGGTTTAATCAAGATATTCAGGGGCTTCCAGGCTTTGACAGATAGTTTCCCTTCAACCATCTTTGACAATCTGAGAAGCATGGGCATCAATCACCAAGATGCCTCCAAATTTTCGTTAGTCAGCACTTGCTGTCCTGTGTCTTTTCATGTTTTCTTCTAGGAGTTGTCGGATGTTCGGGGCCTATTGTAGATTTGGTGCGACTGGTCCACAAACCATACGCATGGCTGGAAGCATGCAAACGCATTAAGAGATCTGGCCTGGCCAAGTGACTATATTATATCACAATCCCGGTACGAGTTTACCAGGGTAGGTAGGCACCCCTGCTTTTCTATTAGAAAATGAAGGGTCCTGAGTTAACGGAAATAGTAAAGCACACTCTGACCACAAAATAACAGTACCACATTTAGAAAATCATACGCATACCAAAATGCATTTTTCCACTATGGTAGGCTCATTTTTCCTTAGAATATCATGCGCGGACATCTGAGGTAGGATCCTAACTGCGGAAAATGCGGACATAGAAACCAACTACCGAGTTACAAGTCCAGGTTTTCTAGAGGACATGGTGTTTCGAATGTCACCCAGTTTCTCCCACAGCAGCAGCTTCAAAAAAATTGATTTCTTCGATTTTTCATGATTTTTCCAATTCGATTTTTTCGATTTTTTCGATTTTTTCGATTTTTTCCTTTCCGCTGGCAAAAGTCTCAACATCTCTCAGCAATATTTCCAGTCATCCTACCCAATAGTTGCCAGCCGAAATTCAACAGTTGTCAGATGAAGTCATATGAAATCAATTGAAACCAATTGGAATCAAATAAAACGCTGATAAAATCTGAATAGATCTGGTAAATCTCAATAAAATTGAATAAATACACATAAATAATCATAAATACATATAAAATCAATTAAAATCATATAAATACTACATAGAAATACCACATCTTTCTGATTCTTTCTGCATCTTTCTAGAATACATCAGCTGGAGCAACAACAAAAACCAAAAACCAACAAGCAAAACCACCCCCTCTATTTTGGACCCTGCTAGAAGATTGTGAACATGTGCTTTGGGCTTAGAAAGACACTTCTAGAAAATCATGTCCAATGAAAATTTCATATATTTGGTTCCTCATAGATGATATTTAGAAAATTCCAGACATATACTGGAGCTTGCCTGTTGCACTATTGTCTACCTCTAAAAAACCAGGATCCACAAGAAAATCGCAATCTGACTCCTTAGTGTTGCAGTACTGAACACTATTGTCTACCTCTAAAAAACCAGGATCCACAAGAAAATCGCAATCTGACTCCTTAGTGTTGCAGTATTGAACAATGTTGAACAGCTCTAGAAAACCTGGGCCACTAGAAAAGCTCACTCTTACCTCTCTAAGTTATGTGAAATTTTATCCGCAAAATCCGTTTTTTGGGCCTCTAGAAAAGTATGACCATACGAGTATGATAGGTTACAACTTATAAAAAAAATGCTCTCTAGAACCAACGGGGGTTGTTACATAAAGCCTCTATGTTCCCATGCATATTTTTTCTCTAGAAACAGACGTCCTTACAGGGGGGTTAACCTACCTGGTTTTCTGGGGGAAACTCGTAAGATGATATATCACAAGTTATCACATTAGATCCATAGATGTCTCAAGTGGATTAAGTGGATTGCCATGGAAGAAGCTAAAAGGAGCAGTGAATCCTGCATGCCCTCCGGTAATCAAACATGTCGTGCTGGGAAACACCCAAAATGTATGGAGGCATGTCCCATTAAACCACCAATGAGGTAGAACATTTGGGGAAAAAGATACAAAACCATTGGCCATTGGATTATAGGCAGATATAGAATTCTCCATTTTCTTGATGTTGTTTGGGTTTCACCGAATCAAACCATTCAACCCCTTTGTTTCTTTCAGTGATCTAAATCTAAGTGATCTTCCGCCGGCCAGGCATCCGGACCACAAAAGGCATCCCGGACATCGCTGCAGCGGCCCAAAAAAGGTACTGCGACGGGATCTCAAGTTGCCACCAGAGTAGAGACTGGACCCGACCCCGATGGACCCGTCGGATTCCGACGTCAATGTTCTCAAGTAGCGATTACATGACATGTATATATATATATATATTACATTCATATCTATATATATTATATATATAATATAGTTATATAGTTGCTATATTATATAAATATATATATATATATTATACATAGACTGATCATGTTTGATATAGAGGCTTCTCAAACCTGGTCACACCCAAGTCAGTCTTAAAACCTAAATATAACCTGGATTAATGATGGAAATTGAAGGATATATCATAGTCGATTTGACCTAACGGAAAGGATCCCAAAATCAATTTCCCCTTTCCATTCCTACAATGATCCACTGACCATGCGTCCTTGTGCAGTTTCCGATCTGGCACCCCACTTCGAATCCATCCCAGCAGTGCCTCAAAATCACGTTGCGAAGGCTGGTTTTTGGCAGTTGTGCTGGATGTGGGCTAAAAGGGGGTTGTCTAAAGATCAGATGTGCGCAAAAATCGAACAATGTTGGTGCTTCAAAAAACGGGGTACCCTCTGGTAATTTAACGTAGCTATTGAAAATGGCCATTTATAGTGGATTTACCCATTAAAAATGGTGATTTTCCATAGCTATGCTAAATTACCAGAGGGTATACCATGGTATACCCCATACATCCCGATAGTCTTCCCGGCAAAAAGAATGGCAAACCCTGAAAGGCGATATCCATTCCACTCCTCTGCTGAAAAAAAAAGTTGAATGTGCCCCAGACGATAGGGAACTGGGACGCCCAGTCCATACTTCGTGGAGACGGGTATACCATCAATCTATCATTTACAGTACCCATTGGTGCTGAAAAAATGGGTGGAACTGCTCCTTCTTAATCAATGAGGCAGTGGAAAATAGATAAAATAGAATCTGACAATACTTAAACAAGTGTGGATATCCATGGATATCCCATATATTCTGTAATTTGGCTTATAAATGCTTATAATGGTTTCCCTAACGCTTCTGAACGCCGCTTATCCCCCCACCTCCATGGAACATCTGTGTAGCACTGGTCGCCACTGTGAGGTGGTAAGGGCGATGCGGCCGATAGCCTGAAGTGCGACTGACCAATGACTTATCGGTCGGAAAACGGGTGGAAGGGGAGTCATGAGAAGAAATGGATGGTCAATACCCATGACGGATCCATGGTGCTGGTATATATACTAACATAAAGGGGGTATATTGATGGGATCCATGTTACCATATATAGCAGCACCATGGATCCATTGTCAATAGGTAACCTTTCTGGTGGAACCACATCATTTTTTTGCGGAATTTTCCTGCTTTTTTTCGAGTCTGCTGGTGAATCCTAAACCCTGCAGAAGCGTTTTTGTGCCTTCAGAGGGCCTTTTTTGGTAATGGATCTTGTGCTCGTGCTATACCCCTGCATCGAATCAATCCAACACACACATCACTCCCCGGCTATGCATGAACATTAACTCTTTCTGTTCAGCTCACTGCAGCCTGTTTTTTCTGCAGGCTGCTTCTTGTGACCGTGGGCCATAAAACTTCAGTGAGGGAACTCAGATGTGAACATAAGGGTTATGCAATGTTATTTATCTATATATATATATACTGTACATATATCGCAAAATCAAATACCATCAAGTACAAAATATGCTGCTATGATTAGCTGTGCGTTTCCACAGCTAAGCATTGCTTGGCAAAACGCCCGATGGCCAGCCTCCGCCGCTGCTTGTGCAACTGGGGCAACAGGCCTTGGCTCGATTGTTGAGGTCAACGTTGAGCCACTAACGTGATTACCCAACAATAAACCACAACCCATCTACCCTCTGGTTATGACGAACATAGCCATGGAAAATGGCCCATTTATAGATGGTTTACCTAGCTATAAAATGGTGATTTTCCATGGCTATGTTAAATAACCAGATGGTATACTGGTATACCTTGATAAGTTTACCATCGTGTGGAGAGCACCAACGAGAAATGATGAATATTTGTTGGGTTTAGCACAATTACCCATGTTACGTCAAATTGTGTAAAAATGCTGCACCAGGATGCATCCATTTCTGTACTACACGCATTTAGTGGT